CTCCCCTGGTGGCAGCCAGAATGAAATAGTGGGCACATTTCAGATGCCACTCCTCAAACTCGTCAAAAGGTTCAAGATTTTCCATGCGCTGGCGTTCTTCTGTGGGGAGAAAGCAACGATAGAATTCATTCATGTCCATGGCACTGCATGTAGTCCAGCCAGCCTGAAGGAAGCGGTGCTGCTGGGCCTCCACGTCAGGAAAGCGATCCAGACCATGCAAGGGAGAATTTAGTCTTTGAAAATGTTCCTGCATGAACTGGCCAAAGGCGTCATGCGGCCTCATCTGCTCATAGACGACGAAAAGGGCATTAGGAAAGCGCTGGGCTGCCCAGGTGATGAGGGCCGCGGCACTATCTGGCTCCAAATAGGTCAGCACAGCCTCGGCCAGGAGTAGAGTAGGTGCGGCCGCATCAAGGCCCGAGCTGGCCAGGGCCTGGTCCAATTGCTGGAGGTGCCGCAGATCCAAGCCCAGGATGCGGTAGTCCAAGCTTTCAAAGCACAGCGCCAACTTGGGGTCCCCGCTCTGGAAAGGCCCAGTTAACGCGCACAATTTCGGTGTATCTTGAATCCTCTCTGCTTTGCGCCGCGCCACATCCGGAAAATCTACCTCCCAGACGGCAGCCCAGGCCAGGAGGCCTGCAGTTTTGAGGCGAAAATAAAGTGAGTCTGAGCCGGCGCCCAGGGACAGGATCTGGGAGCGAGGTGCTCCACAGGCCGCGCACGTCCGCTCCAGGAAGGCGCGCACGCAATGCTGCACGGCGCGTGCGCGGACGTAATAGCCGCGGTGGATGAGCGGCGCGCGGCGCGGAGCTCCTGGAACTAGCAACGCGGCAAAGGCGTCGTGCACGTACCCGCGGGCGGCCAGCGAACTTTTGCTGAGGGCGCTGCTGTCGTTGGTGCTCTGTACTGCTCCCGCCCTCCGCTCGCGGCTCCGCGGGCGCATGGCCAGAGGATACTCAACAGCGGCGGTCTGTCACAGTGGTGAGCTGCTCTTCTATAGTAGCCACCTCGCGGACTTCTGTACGGAAAAATCACCCCGCCTCCGTCACCCTTCTTCCGCGGACAGGAGTGCGTCACTTCCGGAAGACCGTATCTCGCTAATCAGAATGGAAGAGGGTGTAGCTTGTGCTAAAATTCGACCGTGATTGACTTTTCTTTGATTCTCTGAGACTGCATTTTCGCGGGAAGACTGCCCGCCATGGCTTTTTGTGGACACGTAAACTGTGTCAGAGAAGCACGGCCTGTCACATTTCTACTAGCCTTTGAATGCTGAAGGGAAATTTTTATCTAAGTTCTCATAGTTGACTCAACTGTTGACAGAAATCTTTAAGAGGTGAGTCTGTGGGGACTTAACAACTAGACCTTGGATGGCAGGGTCCACATCAGTGACCTTGGTGGGCAAGGAGAAGAAGGGGTCGTTCCTTAGATGGTAACTACTAGTGCTGATTTACTTAATGCTTTCATTGTTACAAAAGAAATCCCATTTAAGTCTGAAAACAGTGAGGCCAGGTGCAAAATGAAGAAACTTTTACAGAGGTTGTGATTCACCCAATAAAGGTTTCTCCACATACATACTATCGATTCCCTTGTTTTCCTGGCTCTGTGCTAAGCTGACAATAAGTAAATCACTCAGCTCCAGTCTCAAAGCTATAAGATGACGTTCCCCCCCACTTTCAGAGTTCTGTGATTCTAGGGTAAGGAGGGAATCAGGGAAGAGGGGCGATTATTCCTTCATGATATGGTATGAGTCTTGTTGAGGGTTTAAAATAACCACCAAGTTTCTGAGTTGGGTGTTTGGGTGTCATCACCAGCAGAATACTGCTTCCAGAGATATTTACGGAGGCTTAAAATGTATTAATTGGGATTTGGTGACTAGGGGGCCTGAGACCGAGAAGGAAACCAGGATAACTGTAGGTGTGGTTACCTTGAAGCAGTATAGCATAATGGTTAAGAGCATGAGTTTTGGAGTCCAGCCAAATTGAATTTGGACTTCAAAAGTTTGAGTCAGGATAAAGGTTTGATCATTGAAAAGTTTCATTTAGATTGGTGTTTAAGCGCTCTTAATAATCTTAGAGAGCAATTTCTGTGGAGCAATAAGGGCAGAATCTATGGGTTATAAATAAATGGAAGCTACCAGTCTAAATTACTCTTTCAAGGACCTTAGCTCAGAAGGAGGGATAGGGCAGTAGTTAAAGAGAAATGTGGGATAAAAGAAAGTTTGGAGTTTTGTTTGTTTGTTTTTGTTTTTTGGGTTTTTTTTTAGGTGGAAGCAAATGCTCTACTTGCATGTTGGTCCCCTGAGTGAAATTAGCTAGTGAAGAGAGTGAGGTTGGAGAAAAGATGATTAACTTAGAGTAATGACTTGGAATAGATAGGAAGAAATGGGATCCTGAGCACAAATTAGTCTTAGAGACAAGAATGAATCCTTTTTCTCTGACTCATGAGGGAAAAAAGGGTGTAGACAAAGATAAGTGTGGGGGAGAGCAGAGAGAAATAAAGGGAATTTATGCCTGATCGCTTCTGGTGTCTGTAAACCTGCATCTGGGTTGTTACTTCAGTGTGAGGCAGTTGGGTCTAGGGGAACACTTGAGAAGTTTGAAATTGCCTTTGAAGGGAATAGGAGAGGGCCAAAGAGGTGGTTGGGGGGTGAGGGATGTTGTAGGACTTTGAAAAAATGTATGTAGTGCTGTGGAAATGAATATTTTAATGAGAGCTTAGTAAAATATACATGGTATTTTAGAAATATTATTTTTCTAGTAAAGAGCAGAAATCAAGAAAAGTGATTCAAGAAGAAAGAATAGAGCAAAATTTGTGATATGGATATCTTACCATTGTTTTCGGCTATTTTTAATCTCTTTATTCTTACATAAAATGAGGATATTAAAACCTCATGGGTTGTAAAATAACCACTTAAGTCTTAGGTCCTCAGACACTTAGCACAGCTCCTGGCTCATAGTAAGTGCTTAATAAATAGTAACAAATATTCTTATTATTCTGTGCCCTCCCCCTTTTGGCATGCAAAAAGTTCTGTGGGAAACAGGAGACTTGTTTCTGGCCCTTCTCTAATTTGATGAACTATTAGTACAAATGTAGAAAGATCTTATCTCAATGTGTTGCCTTTCCACTCCTCTCCTCCACCCCAGCTTCTGATGGCCCATGCCAAACCTAGTCCAGGAAGGTTGAATTTGGCAGAGAGCATGGTATTGTTGAGAGCAATATTCTGGCAAGGATCAGTGAAACAACCAGTTTTTCAAATGTGCAAAGACTGTGCTTGTTTTGGTGGCTTTCAAATATCCATAGATTAACATTATAGCCAGTGGGTCAATAAATTTACTCACAACTAGTTAAGGTAAGTCTGGAGGGTGGTTTGAATGTGACACAAAATAAGGTCAGGATCCTAGAGTAGGGTTAAAAATGTATATAGAAAGCTAGCCACCTGTCAGATTTGTTACCAGCTGGCTATGTAAAATGTCCTGAGTGCTTTTTCAGGTTGTCATTCTATTGTCTAATCATATAAGTTCTTCCCTTTCACAATTCATAATAATAAAGCTGTTTTGTAAGATTTTTTAAAAATTATTATTTTATAAACATTTTAAATTTAATTATTTTACATTTTAATTTATTAAAGTTATTAAGTAAATTATCTAAATTAATTATTTAAAACTTTAATTTATTAAAATTATTTCAAAAGGTATTTGAAATATTAGAAGCTTATTGTAAAGGATTACATGCTTGTTGTAAAACCTTAAAATTGCACAAAACTATATAAGGTTAAATAAAAGTTCTCTCCTCTGACCTTTGTCACTTCCAACCCACGTTCTAGTGGTAAGTTTCTGTGTACCCTTTCATATGTGTTTTTAGAATAAAGATATAAATAAATAAGAGTGTGTGTATACATGCATACATGCTTTATTCATAAATGCTATCTTATATCACAGAAAGCTTTCCATATAGTCATAGATATTCATTTGGACGGATATATAATTAATTTATCCAGTACTCTACTGATGGACATTTAGGTTGTTTCCAATTTTTTGCTTTTATAAGTGCTACAAGAATTGTATTTGTACATATCTTATAAGATATAAAATAAATTCTTAACTGTAAAATTCTTGACTTATTGAGTCAAAAAATATGTGTGTGGAGCAGTTGCATGTGTGTATGTTATATTGATAAATGTAGTCAAATTGCTGTCCGAAAGGACCATACCAAGTTCTGTTCACACCAGAAAATTTACTCAGACCTTCACCTGTATTAGGTATTATTCTTCTCAGATTTCAGAATTTTTTCTGGATAATTTTATAAGTTGTCTTTCACATGAACTTTAAAAATCGATTTCTAAGGAATAATTTTGGGACTATTTTGATTAACATTTACTTTATAAGTCAGTTTATGGCAAATTGACTTTACTTATATAAGATAAAGTATGTTTTCTCATTTTAATGGTATCTGTTATGTACTTTAGTAGAGATATTCAATATTTATTAAATAGTCCGTCTTTTTTATTTGTTACTATTAACAATGGTATTCCATCGAAATGCCACTTTTATCTCATACCAAATTGGCCTTTCTGTGGATTTCTATGCCTTTGTCTAGTCCTATACAAACTATTTTCTTTATTGCCCATTTTTAATGTGTTGGCAACTTATTTAACACCTGTCAGTATCAATTTGTTGATGTGTAATGTGGTAAAAATATTTATTTTGCAAAGTTGTTGATAGAATTAAAGATAATGTTAATAAAAGTGCTTGCTACATACCTGGCAGACTCTGAAAGGAAACTGCTATTCTTATCAACATCATCATCAACATGTGAGAAACCAGAGGGTCAAGGTGGCTACTGTGAAAATCACTAAATTTCATTTGGAATTTTAATGTATAAGCCACCTTCAGAGGTGAAGGAAAAATTAGGATTTATTTATCACCTGCAATGTGCTAGGAACTGCATTAGGTACTAGGAGGTAGAATAAGTCATAGTCCTTTTCCTTAGGAAGCTTATAGTCTGGTGAGGGAGAAAGACAAGTAAATCAGTGGTTGAGAAACAATGTGATAAAGTGCTGAGTGAAAGGTAGTCACTGGATTATATGGGAGCATACAGGAGGAGAATTTAAATTACTTTATTAATCCTCGGAGCTACTCTCCATTTTTATCCCATTTTTACAAATAGGGAAACTGAAGCTACAAGGTTAAGTGACTAAGGCCACACGGCTGCTAAACTACAGAACTAGTAAAAGGATTAACCTTAGTCCACTGAAGCCAGTGCTTCTGCTCTTGCTTTATATATTTTAAACAATTCAAAATGTAAAAATTCAAAAATATAAATTTATTTTACCTGAGATGGGTCTTATAAATTTCTAATGTTAGAAGTAGTTTTATAAAAAATGCTAATACGTAAAGGATATACCCAACTAAATTTCAGGTTGTAATCTACCTCTTAACCAGTTTGAGGCCTTTCCCTATTTCTAGTTCATATCATTAGCTCATTTAAATTAGCTTTGGAGGGGCTTTTGTCTTTTGAGGAATAATTAGCAAAATACTGTTTCCTTGCTTTTATGTCAACATCTGAAAATGTTTACATTTGTTTAAACAGGTGAAGCTGAGCCCAGAGCTACATACATAGCTCATCTTATTAAAATGGTGGAAATAAAGCAATTGGAAGGAAATTCAAGACCATAAAATTTGCTAACTGAAATACATTGCATTGTTCATACTAAGTTTTTGGAGAAAACTTTTTATCCTGCTAAATTATGGAGGCAGAAGAAGAACAGCAGCGATGGAAGACAACCTTTTACTCAGAATTACCTAAAGTGGTGAGAATTCAACCACAGAATTCCAAAGTGGTTGTTAATTTAATGACTTCTGTGTTCTTTCTTTTCACAAAAGAAAAGTAAATTTTATAGGTAGTATTTGTAAAGTTTAAGAGTGATACAGCTAAATCTAGTAGGCAGTTTGCCTAGTGCAGACTGCAAAATCAAGTACCTGGTATGATGCAGTGAATCTAGTGGATACTTGATGTATTTTTACTGATTGTATTCTTTTTTGTTTTTAGGAACTTCACGCCCACTTGAATGGATCCCTTAGTTCTAATACCATAAAGAAATTGATAGCTAAGAAACCAGGTCTTAAAATCCATGATCAGATGACTATGATTGATAAGGGGAAGAAAAGAACTTTAGAAGAGTGAGTTTGGGGAGCTTGTGAACATACTTCTTTTCTTCTCTGTCACTTTTTTGAGGTTGTAAATAATATGTAAGGATTCAGATTTTAGTAGTTAAAGGAATAGGGTAGCCATCTGGTTTGGAGAGTATAACTTGACATACAGCATTTTTCCAACGGTCAGACTGTCGACAATATTTTTAATGATTTATGTTGTTTGTGAAGTTATAGTATATTGGAATATTCTTTAGACTTGAAGATACAGGCTTACTGATTCTCCCCATCCCCATTTGCTCCTACTGGTGATGGAGTGCGGGGCGTGGTGGAAAAGGGAAACTATTATTTCCCAAATAAAAATATCAGTAATGTTTTATTTTTAGTCATTTCATTATCTTTCTAGATCAGTGTACTTTTAGAAAAACTCCTTCTGTGGTTTTTTTAATAAATATAAAATTACTATTAGCCTAAAATCTGTTAACTCAGCTTAGTGAGTTTTGCCTTGAGTTTTTGATGACTAGAGTGTATTAAAACTTTTCATTCATGTTACAGATGTTTTCAGATGTTTCAGATTATTCATCAGCTAACTACTAGCCCTGAAGATATTCTAATGGTAAGAAATGAAGCAATTTTCAGACTGGTTTAAAAATTAGTAATTTATGCCCTTCTCTTGTTGCATTGAGTCTGATGAAAAATGTTTTCTGCTTTTTTATGGCAACTCTTTTCAAAACCAATGTAAGACATTTGCTTAAGAACTAATATCAAAAGACTATGTTCATTGTACAAGATATGAGAAAAGAACTAGATAAATATCTTCTGTTAGATGGAAGATGATATGGGGGAGAAAATCTGGTCCTGTTTTCCATAATATTTGACTACAGCTAGGAATGTCTTTCATAAGGCTTTATCTCTCTTGCTTGGGAGACTTTTCACTGCCTGGGTGGACATTATAGAGAGTGAAGAGGTTCTAAAGGTGCTTAGAGATTGAATTATTAATCCTTAGGGAAATTGTGCCTTCCCTCTGAGAATGGAGAACTAGAGGATACAACTGTGTTCTCTTATCTGAAGCTCCATGATACTAGAGTCTCCATGATATAGAAGACTGGCTTCTGTAAGATTGATCTGACCAGGATGGCATTTAAATGTCCTCTTTGTAAATGGAAAAAAAAAAATCCTGTCAGTGTTCTTAATCATTAGAAAAATGCAAAGTAAGTAGTATAATCTGTGTTTCTAGAGAACTAACTTTCGACTGGTCAGGACAGAATTTTCCTCCTTGATCGAGACTGATTCTCATGATAAACCGTAAATTAATCACCTTTTGGAGGAAGTTAAAGTTTAGTTCAACAAAAGTTGACTGCCCATAATGTTTCCATGCTAGAGACTGGGAGATAATAAATATAGATTGATATAGTCCTTGCCCCTGCAGAATTTATAGTCAGGGCTGATTCTGGCTGATGCAGATGTGGAACCCAGAGAAGTATTCTTAAATGTGGGTAGGGATCATTTCACAGACCTTGTGGCCTAGATAAATCTTCCTCCCATCGCTCTCATTCTGTACTTGCCAGCAACCTTCTATTATTCATTTGGTTTCACAGGTATCTCACCATCAAGAAGAGGGGTGCCCTGTATAGTAAATGTGATCATTTCAGTCATTGAGAAAGACTGCCACTTCACACCCTCACTTTCATCCTCATTGTCAGTGCACACATTAACAAATAGGCTTCTGCATTAGTTAAGGTGAGCTAGGGTAGAGTGAGTTGGTCTCTCTGGGTCTGCTCAGTTCTGCAGCAATGACAAAATGCAAATTCTTCAGCCTGCAGAAATGAGGCCCACAATCTAATGGTGGCAATGTGGAGTTCCTAGAGAAGCAGCGCCATAGCCTACATAGAGGCTGTAGTGTAAGCTATGCTCAGTGGTAGAGGAAGCAGTAGTGTCTCTGTGTAGGGGTGTCACGTGATTTTTAATGTTGTTATGTTGTTCTAAGCTGTGTAGTCTCTCGGGCTGATTCTCCAGACCTCCTGGTGAATCTAAGCCACCTTTTTCATTTATATCTTTGGGGCTTTATTTAAAAAGTGAAAAGAGAAAAGATGAGGCCCAGACCTTGGATTGCAGTGAATCCACTAAGATCCTGCCACCTTATTAGGCACTATCAGCACAACTATCCAGCCCCTTATTTTTTCTGCCAGGACACTGCTGCACTTGCCTGCACCACGTACACACAGTCAACACAGGTTAAGATTAAGATACTAACTATAAAGACTAACGAGGGCAGGTTGTCACAGCATTCATAACCTGTTTTTTTTTTCTTTTAGATTTGGTATTTTTTAGGATTGGTGGTAGAGAAAGAAACATGCCTTTAGCCTTTTAGATATCATTTACCCTGGTCATTTTGTAATTCCTGGATTGTTGAAGTTTGTGCTAAATTGGATAGAGTTTTTTCATATTTATCACCCATTTTCTTTGCCTAAGAGGAATTTTCCTAAGTACTTCTGGGGAAAATTTAACACTGCCTAAAGAATTTCTTGAAAAATATAACTTACTCCTAAATAACTTGAATAGGAACCTTACAAAAAGTGTGAAAGATGTGCAGATTTAGATTTAATGTGGGAATGAGGGGGATGATGGGAGCTGTGGGAAATGTTGCGGTTCTGTCACGGTCTCCACCAGGGGTGTGACAAAGTGGATAGTCTTAACCACGGGGAAGACTTCCAACTTCCTTGCAAATCAAAGTTAATCAGTAAAATAAAGCTGTAGCACTTGGCATTTTCGTTGGGACCCTTACACTAACTATCAGTACTGTGTACATTGCCTTTTTTATCAGGTCACAAAAGATGTCATTAAAGAATTTGCAGATGATGGTGTCAAGTACCTGGAACTAAGGAGCACACCCAGAAAAGACAGTGCTACAGGTAAAATTTAATTACTTCTCAACCCATGTACTGTCTCTTTTCCCTTGATCATTCATGCATTCACAAGTTGAGAATATGAAGTAGTTACTTTTACATTAGAGAATCAACACTCCAAATCTTATGATGTACATTAATGATGTACATTATTAATAAATGAGTTATTCTTTAAAAAATTAGGTCAGGTATTATCTGTTTAAGGGAAATAAAAAAAGCCTGCAAAAATTTTGTTTGTTCTCTTGTTTGTTTTTTTACTATGAGAAAAGGACATTTGCTCCTTAGAGTTGCAGTGTCTTAAACATAGGCTAATTCTTGCTCCCTGCAAGAAGAGTGAAACAATGGCACTGAGTGGATACAGAATCTTATGACAATCATTGAAAGGAGGTTACTCAGTCATTTCTCAGGGACTAATAGTATCTTAGGTCAGGAGCAAGCTGCGAGGTGGTAAAACCTCTCTGGATGGAGATGAACAGATTTGGATGTGGTCTGGAGAAATTTGCTGGGACCCACTTTCCATAAGAGTAGCATCAGGAAATGATACATAGTATCTTTGAGTCCCTCCTAACACTTAGTCTTGACCTGAAGAGATCCTACCAGGTCATCTTGCACCCTGACATGTTATCATGTTGGGGAGTAAAATTTTTGAAACTACATATAGTGAAGTAAATGTTGAAATGAGACAAGCAGATTCTTACCTTGAATTTTTAAACGCAAATCAGTTCCAAGTTGTGCTGGTGAGGATAATGAAAAAGGAAGAGAGAAGAAGCCTTCCAGTTATTAGAGCTAGTTTGTTCTTTGAGTGGAGAGTCACAGGGGGTGTTAACCTAAGTATGTTAACAAAAGGGGAATGGTTAAATAAAGCTTAATGGAATATTAGGCAACCATTAAAATATGGTTGCAAAGATACTTTAATGACATGGGTATATGCTCAGAATACAGTGTTAAATGAATGAACAGGATGCATATACCTAGTAGCATCCTCTATGCTTAGAAAAATAAAGACAGTGGTTATCTTTGAATGATGGGAGTACAGGTTATTTTTATTTTTCTTCTTTATAATTTCCTGTGTTTTACTAGAGATTTTCCACTGAAAGTAAGCATTTTAGAATTGGGGCACAAGAGTATTTTAGAGGTAATTGTTCTGGAGAGTGCTCTTTCAGAGACTACCCAGAAGAGAAGGTCTTGAGCACTCAAATTTAATAACATCTCTAGTGCCATAGATGAGAAATACTTAACCAAAGCAGGAATTGGGTAAAAAGGAACTCAAAAGAGGTGTTTTTTGTTTGTTTGTTTGTTTTTTTCTGGACCAGCAAGAAAACATTCTGCTAATACAGAAAAATTTTTTTTTTTTTGGTTTTATTAAGGACAGACTAGAAAGAGGGTTCTTGTTCTTGTTTTGTTGGAACAAGCATTTAAAATTTTTTTTAGCAACTTGTAAGAGTAATTTTGTCTATTGAATCTATGAATAATATTTAGACAGGCTTGTGTTTTTTATGTACTTTTTTCATTTTTCTAGTACTTCATTTTTTTTTCAGTTTTATTAAAGTTCAATTAGCATTTACTAAAACGTATCCATAAGGGCCATGTTTTAACTCATCTTTAACCATGCTCTTGTCACAGCATAAAATGAAAATGTAATTGTTCATATAGGGATGTTAATGTTGAAGGATGAAATAGCTCATGATCTCTTCATATGTTTTCTTTGTGTCCTTTACAGGAATGACTAAAAAGACTTATGTGGAATCTGTGCTTGAGGGTATAAAACAGTCTAAACGAGAAAACTTAGACATCGATGTTAGGTAAGAAGCACCATTTAAAAATCTAGAATGTGTGAAAATTTTACTGCTTTAATCATAGGTATAATGGGTTTTTATAAATCAACCAATGACCAATTTTTATCTTATATGAAAAAAGTCAATAACTCTATTGTGTAATGTTGAGAATGCAATTCTGAATTTATTCATATGGCAATAAAATTCTGAGTACCATTGCTGTAGTGAAGTATGGCTTCCCATTGCTCTTCAGTTAAAATATAGACTTCTTACTGTAGCCTCCAAGGCCCCACATGATCTGGCTGCCTCTCTTACTTCAACAGCTTTATCTGGACCACTTGTCACTTATTATGCACTGGCCTGCTCTCTGTTCTCCAAATAGGCCAACACTATCCCATCTCAGTACCTTTATACTTCCTGTAACTTTGCCTAGAACACATTTCCACCATATCCTTGGATGGCCGGCTTCTTCTTGTAATTCAGGTCTCAGTTCAGCTGTCAATTCCTCAAGAGAGGCCATCCTTGACCACCTTATCTAAATTGCCCCCCAAATCCTCTAGTCACCCCATTTATTTCCTTTATGGCACTCTTTTTAACCAAATGAGAATTTATCTTGTTTTATTTGTATATATATGCTCACCCACTAGAGTGTAAATTCAGTGAGGCCAGGGACTTTGTCTTTTGATTCACCCCTAGACATTTAGTACTTAGAACAGAACTGGCACATAGTCAGGCCTCAGTAGGTCCTCAAAGAAAGAAAGCTAGCTGTAGTGTTTTCTGGCTATAAAATCTCTCAAAAGTAAGCTTAACTAGACTAATACTCCAATTAAAAAAAAAAAGACAGAAAAAGACAAAAAGAGAATTCAGAAGACATACTAAGGGTCTATAAATGTGTATAAAACTATTTGACCTCAAATCAGATGATTTTAAAAGGAAATATTACAGTGCCATTTCATTAGCACCGTCACCCACCCCCGCCCCCCACCGCCCAGGGTAATAACTAGTGTTTGTGAACTTACACAGTCAGTGAGCATATGTAAGTAGTAAAACCTCTCTAAAGAGCAATATGTATTGACCTCTAAAAATAATTTTCCTCTCTGACCCAGTAATTCCCTTCTAAAAATGTATCCTATGGAAATAAGTTGATTTTATTTGAAAGATTCTTCATTGTAGTGTTATTTATGACAAAAAGTAGAAAACATCCTAAAACGTCCAGCAATCAGAGGACAATTACATTGTTATGTCTACATGGTTTGTATTGTTTTCTAACATTATTTAATGGCAGGGGAAATTGTTAAGTGAAAAAAAAAAGATACTACATTTTATATATAGTTGTTCCAAATTTTGTAAATAAATGCTGGAGGAATTTATTTTGTGACTAAATAGATAAACTAATAAATGCTGGAGAAAAATTACAGGATATTAATAGGGGTTCTCTGGGTATTAGATTTCTTGTAGAATTTCAGGTAATATATGAAGAATGAATTTGTGTTAGCTATTAAATACATATTAGAATTAGAATATTATCAGTTTTGTAACTTTAATGAAATAATGATCTAAGCCTCCTGATGAAAGACCACATATGAAATACTCTTGCCAAAAAATTGAATCTCCTCTGATTAAGCCTCTAGACTAGATCCAATTTCCAGTTTATAGGAAATACAAGAGAGGAACAAGTTAGCAACACAGGGATTCAGTCAGAAAAATCCAGTCTTTGAAAACTTTGTAGGACAAATGACCTGGTTTATTAAACAAATAAATTTAAGATAAGAGCTGGGGGAGGTGAGGAAGCGGGTGGAGGGTGCCTGTAGACTAAAAGAGACTTAAGATGCATTGATCAACACAATGTGTGGAACTTTAGTTGGATTCTGAATCAAACAAACTATGAAAAACAAATACTTGAACAAAAACCATGAGACAGAAATTTGAATACTAACTAGATATTTGGTGCTATTTAGGAATTCATGTCTCATTCCCTCTAGCAAAGTAAAATGTCATGTCAGTCAGGCTGTATTTTTCCTAGAAAGATGTAATACATGTACCTGCCATAGTTCTCTGGCCATACTCAAGAGTTGTCTTTTTCATCTGCACCATATTCATTTTCAATTATGTTTTTCTTATATTAAAGGTATTTGATATCAATAGACAGAAGAAGTGGCCCTTTAGTGGCCAAGGAGACTGTTAAACTTGCTGAAGAATTCTTCCTTTCTACCGAAGGTACAGTTCTTGGCCTTGACCTCAGTGGAGACCCTACCGTAAGTTATTTTTCCTAAATACATTTTATTTCTAAAAGGTCGAATTTGTTTGCAGGATAAGGGTTAGCTTCAAGCATCCTGCATTCTCCAGAGGTTCAAGACTCCGTGTGGATGAAGCCCTATTCTGCCCTGAATGACCATAATGTCTACATCTTCTCTTCTTAACCAGGATTCTGAAATAATTAATCCCCTAAAAAGTAAAAAAAGATTTGCATAACATGATTATTTTCTTCATTTTTCTAAATATGGTACACACTTGGTTCCATTCTATATACTTAGGAGAGAAGTTAATTCATTACATACAGTGGATGTCTAATGCTTTTTTAATGCTTAATTATGGCTAGGGCTTAATTATCTCATAGAATCCTCAGTTAAGAAAGGCTGGCCTAGAACTTCTTGAATGTCAGATTCAAGCAGGATGTCTCATCTGTGGCACCATTGGCATTTTGGGCCAAATAATTCTTTGTTGTGGGGACTGTCCTGTGTATTGCAAGGTGTTTAGCAGCATCCCTGGCTGCTATCCACTAGATGCCAATATCACCCTCCCAGTTGTGACACACAAAAATGTTTCTAGACATTGCCAAATGTCCCCTGGGAGGAAAAATGCCCCCAGTTGAAAGCCACTGAATTAGAGTCCCGTGAAACTGGTTCTTAATAACTTTGTCTAAACTTGGTCTATTCTGCTGTTGTTTCATCCATCCATTTGATAGAAGCTTTCTTTAGTAATCACGTGGATTCTAAATCAGATAAACTCTCTTTGTTAGCTAGATACCCTTCCAGAAATAAAATTTGGCGACTGCTATTCTAGCTTAACTAATTAACCTCAGATTCACTGATATTTGACTTAAGATTCCTGAGGGCAAGGACTGTGTCTTTGTCAGCTTTGTATTCCCCAAAGTGTCTAGCACATTGTAGGTGCTTTATGTATAGAATGTGCAAATTAATCACTCTGCTGTTTTTTCCTGCTAGTATTTTATTCTTTTGTTTATTGAGAGAACACCCAATTTCTCAGTTTGCCTAGAGTTCTTATGCATCCTCATTTTAACTTTTATCTTCAAGGCAGGACAAGCAAAAGATTTTTTAGAACCACTTTTAGAAGCAAAAAAAGCAGGTCTGAAGTTGGCATTGCACCTTTCAGAGGTAAATAATATTGTAAAGTTAGTCTGGAGAGGGTAGATTACAATGGAAAATAATAATCATTTTTAAATGGCTAAAAATACACCTGGCTTAGAAAAACATTTTAGAAGGGAAAAGTAGAGCTATTTTTTAATATAAATTATAATGATAAAAGATATGACTTTTTAGTCTTTCATGTTACTGTTTTTGTTTTATGGTTCTTGGGGGGATGGGTGTTGACTTACAGTACAGCTGTGTCTTTAAAAATAGCTAAGGACATCTTGCTAGAGAAAATGCATGAATTTCTGTCATCAACTTTGTCATTGGCAACTGACATTGAGAGAAGCACCAGTTCATCTCACTAGTTCTCGTAGGAGAAGGGACCTGAATGTATCACATGCACTGGCAAGAAAGGAAGTAGCTCATCATCATTTTATAAGGCTCAGCAGGGAGATCAGATGGCAATCATTGGTCCTCAGCTCTTTGGTAGCATGAGCAAGTGACAGATAATGTACAGATAATGGCTGGAGAACAATCACTTTCTTAAGTACATCTCTGTGAGTCAAACAAGGAACTCTACTGCACTTTCCCCATTTTACAGATGGATTACTTTTGTCCTATTATTTTCTTTTTTCTTTTCCCGACATACAAAAAGCTGTACATAATAAGTTTGGATTTCTTAAATACAGGAAAAAATACTTAGTCTACTCATCTCATGGGGTTACTATGAGCATTAAATGGCGTAATGTGTAAAGGTTGAGTAGCATCATGATTTAAAGATTAAGGAAAATATTGGAGCTTCTTGTCAGTACTGGTGTTTTTCATGTCAAAAGCAGAGGGTCCGTTATCTAGTGGCGGAACTTGAAATCTAGGGTCTATGTTTTCACACTCTGATCAAAAAGACCTTTCACTTTGAGGGGTACCCTCTAGGTGACTGACCTAACTGTAGCCTGATTAAAACAATTGGTCAATGTAATGAAACAGGCCGTGTGCATCACTATGACCAGTTATCTCTGGTCTTTGTGCACAGCTTCAGAACTGCTCTTTACTTTAGTTTCTGTTGCTTTTCTTGCTTGATCCGTTGAATGTAAAGCATTTCATTTCAACATATTATTGTCATTTGCCTTTTAAGCTATCTAGGAGATAAAGAGCACAGCTAGACATTTTCATGGTGGTTATGGTATGTATGTAGCTAGCCTTGTCAAAATAAAACATGAGTACACTATGTGGAGAAAGTCTGGGCCCTAAAGACAGAGCCAGATTTCACCCTTTTCTCTATCATTCCCTGGCTCTATGACCTTGGACAACTTTTGTTAAAAATACTTTATATTTTTAATTATAAAAGTTATATCTGAAGAAAATCCAAGTGTAGAGAATTATTAGAAGGAAAAAAATGAAAAATAAAAGGTCCCCTTCCTGTTTCAGTTCTGCTACCAAGTTGATCCTGTTAACCGTTTTGTATTTATATTTTTCCAGACCTTTTTCTAATATATAGGAACACATATACATAACACAGAACACACATATACACATGGAGTTGAGGTTTTTTTTGAAAATTACTTTTTATGAGCATTAATTTCTTCATCTTAATACATTGCAAGATTCTTTTTATTTTCTCCCCTTTAATTCCCCCTCCCCCACTTCCACCCCTGACCTATGGATGTTGCTGTTTCCCCTTAAGAACTGGATCTCTGAAGGCAGAGTTTCTCCTCCCACAGGCTCGTTGCATGTACCTGGGGCATGGCACCCCCGGTGCACTCGGTGGGCCTGGCATACCTGGGGCCTGGGGCACCCGGGGTATGGTCCGTGGCTCCGCCTGGGGCACGAACCCAGGACCTTCTGCATGTAAAGCAGATGTACTAACCAGTACATTATGGAACCACCCCACTTTGCAAGATTCTTGTGAGGTTTAAAGGAGCATTTATGTGAAAAGCTACAAAGTAGGTCCTTAATAAGTATTTATTATAATTGACCATAATTTTTATCATTGAAATGAATCTAGAAGAATATTGGTAAATAAGTGGGAAGATAAAAGGCAAAGAAGAGAGCTGAGAAGATATAAGTAGTTCAGCTTTCTAGAATGTCAGAGACAAAGTACCTGGCTATAGAAAAAAAAGTACTTTTAAGAACCACTAAAAGAGGTTATTGATGCCCTCTCTCCCTTTTTTTGAGATTCCAAACCAAAAAAAAGAAACACAAGTACTACTGGATCTGCTGCCTGACAGAATCGGACATGGGACATTTCTCAACTCCTCTGAGGGAGGGTCCCTGGATCTGGTGGACTTTGTGAAAAAACACCAGATACCACTGGGTAAGGCTTAGGACTTCAGGTCCTCTAGACAACCCTTAGTCCCTTCCTCCCTCACCCCGCAGTTTGCAACCCATATGTAGGGAAGTACTGTTCTAAATATATAAATATCATTTAGAAAGAAAGATGCATGGTGTGTGTGCTTTCTGAGCCTCATTTAAGTAACAAAGTTTTAGCTCTCATGAGAATATAAGCTCCATGAGAGCAAGGCCCTTGTTTGTCTTGTTCACTGTTAATATTCCCCAGTTCCTGGAACTCAATATTATATTGAAGGAATAAGTGTCATCTAGTATTTTAAAATGACTTTAACCACATTTACATGTGTTATGAAAATGTGTAACATTTATTTAAAAAGTAAAAGTTCCGTTTGTCTACATGTACATACCTAGAGCTGTTTTTATTTAACAGCAAATATTTATGAAGTGCCAACTCTGTTCCATTCACTGTTCAAATTGCTGGGAATAGAGCAGTAAACAAAACAGACAAACAAGCTTGCTTTCTTAAGGAATTTATATTCTAGATTAGGTAAGAAAAACTATAAACATACACAAGAAAATATCAGTGTTAAGTTCTTTGAAGAAAATTAAACAGGCTGATATAATAGTGAAACGACAACTTTGGCTTGCATGGTCAGAGAAGGCCTTTCTAAAGAGGGAAAGAAGCAATTGGCTGATATCAGTTTTACTGAATGATAAAGTCATTGAATTTACACATTTACCAATTTGCAAAAACATTTGTGTGAGGATGTGTCTTTTTTACTATTTATTATAGAATTTGCAGCTCTTTTTATGAGAAAATTTTTAAACATTCACAAAAGTAGAGAAAATGGAAACCACTTGCATAGTGATCTTACTTGGTGTGGTGACCCAGCTCTACTCTCAGCAGAGTGAGGGGGCAGGTTGGTTTTGCCATTCTCTATACTGAGTGGCCCTGTGTTGAGGCTGCCTTAACATGAACAGACACCATCCATCAAGTCAATGAAGTATTTTATTATTCCGGGGGGGCAGGGGGACTGATACACTGTTTCAAGGCTGAATTCATTAATAGAAGTCATTCTTAAAATGAACTTACTTACAGCAGGCAGTAACTGGACAGTTGTCTGAGTAAAGGAGTTTGAGGGTTTTCTTTGAAGTCCATTTCTGCTCTTGGCTTTTTATAATGCTGTAACCCCCAAGCAGTGCTAGCATTTTCTTACTGTTACTTTAGCTTTCACTGTAAGATCAAGAAGTGCAGTAATCCTGCAAAAATTCTTTCTTCCCTATCAGGATACTTTCCTTGCTTCTTCATGGTAACTAGCTTATAACACTCCTCTTTCCTCTCCATCTTGGTAAAAGAAAGGGGGAAGCACATGGCTGTGAACAGGGTATTAATTCCTAGTTTGGCACAGTTGCTGCTATAAGTTGCAGCACATATTTCCCACACAACTACACTAATTGAACTATGAATTTTCACGTATAAGAAAAGGTCAATTTTGAAAGATAACTACTGAAAATTAGCATTGTTTGAAAAGATTTTTCATATATCTAGTTGATGAGCACAGAATGAGTCCACTAATCTGCTTCTAATGACAGGCTTTTCCCCCCTTTCATCTAGAACTCTGTTTGACTTCAAACATCAAAAGTCAGACAGTTCCGTCTTATAACCATCATCATTTCGGATTCTGGTACAGCACTGCCCATCCTTCTGTGATCTGTGTAAGGTGTTTTGTGTCAAACATTTTGCTCCTTTTAGTCCGAGTTGCATTAGATCAGACATTCACTACCTATTCACTACCATGAGTCTCTTGCATGCCTGACAGTAATACCCAAGTAGAGGACATGGGAGACTGGGGCATGAGAGGCTGCAGAGGGCCAGGGTGACTCTGGTTTAGCTCTATGAGAAAAGGTCCTGGACAGTACCTGGGGGAACATAAAAGTGTGTGTGTAATGTATAGTGATGCCCAGCACCCATCCCTTAAGATTCTGTTGTATTTGATCTGGGGCGAGTCCTGGACACAGAAGTTTTAAAAGCTCATTAAGTGATTTTAATATGCAGCTATGGTTGAGAGCACCGCTCTGTTGGGGTTCTTTTTTTTTGGGGGGGGTCATTATTTTAAAAGGATAAAACATTTATAAGCCCCCTGTTTTAACTCTTAAAAAGAAGCATGGTGAATTGGAAAACAGACTTTTTTTTTTTTTTTTTTTTAATAATTTCCTTGTTCATTTTGTAACTTTTTCGCTTATTTTGGCAGACTGATGATAAGGGTGTTTTTGCAACACACCTTTCCCAAGAGTACCATCTGGCAGCTGAAACGTTTAATTTGACCCAGTCTCAGGTATGGGATCTGTCTTATGAATCCATCGACTACATCTTTGCTTCTGACAGTACCAGGTCTGAACTGAGGAGGAAGTGGAATCATCTGAAGCCCAAAGTGTTACATTTTTAAGCTGTAATGAGGTGAATTACTTTCAAGTATGTGTTGCAACCAAGATATTCCTGCCATATCCCACTTAGTAAACCATCTACCACTCCCTTTGTAGCATACCATGGGCTCCATCATCAGTGCCGACTCATGGTGGGTGCTCATTAGTAAATATGTCTTAAACTGACTAGCAGGCTCTGCAGTCTTACATAGTTTACCTGCATGCTGTTTACTGGAAGGGACTTGATGTGCTAAATTCCCCATTCCACCAATGATTTTGACTTAACGGTCCCTCTCCATTAGCAAGATCATAAAACTTCAGGAAACTTAAAGTAGTTTCTCAACCAGAAAAGTTCTGGAATTACATCTACATAAGATGAGGAAAGGGGAAAACAGATTACCACCAAGATCTTTAAGTCTTCTAGCTTCTGACAACAGCTTTGTATTTTGTTATGTTTACTTTAACCAGATTCCCTTCACTTAAATATTCTCTAAAACTGTTGACTCCACGCTACACTGCATACCATGGATTTTGTGAATATCTATAGGATTGTATGAGGAGTTTTTGTGGGCTATCCGGGAAGGGAGAGGGGGCTAGGGAGGGAAAGCTGGCAGACTGTCCCAGGATCATTATTGCTATGGTCAGCAAATTGTGTCCATCTCATGGTCAGAAGATGTCTGTTCAATCTTGTTTCATGACAGGGTTTCTTGTATTTTAGGTTCTGTAAAACCAAACTTAAATAGGAGTTTTACAATCCCTGGTTTTTCTTACAATGATTAACTTCATGAGAACGAGACATGCTGGTTATTTTTATAAGGTCTGCTTATTGCATTGTGTTCTCCCTTCTTAGTAATGTACATTCAGGATGTGGCAATGAGTAGTTCAGTGTCTTGAGTTTTTTCCCTCTGCATTCTTGATCTTATAGACAAGATGGAGTCTGGTTTTAAAATGAAACCTTTCTTGTTATCCTTATGGTCATAGTGACAGCTAGAGCTAGCTGCTGAGATTTGGCTTTGCTCTTGTAATTAATCTCCTGGAATCAAGGGTTTTTTAATGTTCCTATCTTACCCTTTTCTTATTTTGACAATAATGAAGCTATGTCAGCCAGATGCTTCTTCAGCTCTAGGGTACTTTAGGCTTCTATATCCAGCCTTTAATCTGACTTCCAATTGTTTCAAAGTTTTGTTTCTGAAAGAGCCCCATGGTGGATATAGGAGGAATTTAAACTAACTAAAATATCTTCATATGACATCTATTACTTTAAGTACCATGATGTCAGAGAACACTCAATAACATTTTATTTGTCAAAGCTCTGAGACATGCATCTCACTGGATAGCTGTTTGCGTATATAGGAGTAAAGTTTTTATTTTAGATTTTGAATTGAATAGTAGAGAATTGATCCATCCTTATTACATTCATATCTCATCTTCCCTTCCCTACGTAGTCACCATAAAAATAGTTCTCTACAGAGTTGACAAGACAGCCTCTACACTCAGGTTATGGTGAGAGAAATGGCAGCAACACAGAGAATACGTATAAATGCTATTAAGTTCTATGGCATTGGTCATTGAGCACAAGCAATAAAAGCAAGCATGATAGCATGGGGAAAATAAAGAAAAAGAAATAACAGCACTAGGGAAACAACTGATGTGAAGAGATATGACCGTCCAGCTCCTGCTAACACATTCTTGCTTCCTTTGCTGCACATGCCACCCAGTCTGTCTCCACGAAGGTCTTATAGGTATTAAAAGGTTATGGGTACACAGAGCCTCTTGCTCCCCAAACAGTGGGCTTGGTTTCTCTTTCTTGGAATATTTGAAGAACATTATTTCTTGCCTCTTCCATCCTCAGGATTGGCAGATTGGGTAGCAGATAATGGTTTGTGAGCTAGTTTGAAATGAACTGGGTTTTCCCCAGTAAGAGAGTTTGCCTCGTCACTGTACCTTTTGTACATTCTCTTCATCTGGAGGTTGGAGAGCTGGTACTAGGTCTTTTAAAATAAGGCTCTCTCTCCATGCTCAGTTATGATAGATACTGATGGATACAGAAACCAAAGAACGATTTTCATTCTAATTTCTGTTTTACTACACTCCATTTCTTAGCCTAGAACATCAAGATTCTGACAGGTTTATATCTAGTAACCCCACACAAGAAGCCAAAAAAGAGGGTAAAGATTTCTCTTTTCCTACGAGCAACAAATTAATTATAATTTTCACGTATATGTTAAAAAAACACCTGAAGAAACACTGGGCACTTTATAGACATAATTTTTTATTAACATGGTATCCCTGAGAGGCAGATTAAGGTGTAAACATTATTCTGCTTTACAGAAAGGGAATTGGAGGCAAGCTGACTTATAAGACATCTAGAACCAGATATCATATCTGTTGATACCCCAGCCAATGCTTTTCCACAAGACAATACATAGATATAGTAAAGACAGTAATCTCTCATTTTTAAAAAACATTGTAGTATACTTCCTAAACCATCTCAGATCCTGAAGCATTTCTTTAGACTGGTATTTCTTGTATCTTCCTGTCTGCTTAGGCAGTGTAATTGAGATATCTCCCTTTAATTCCTAATAAATGTTAGATTCTTTGTACTAGGATCCCTCAACACCAGCACCCTAATTAATCTCTAATTTAACACAGTAAGCTATGAATTATAGAATATTCTATCTCCCCACTTCTCTCTTGGACCTTAGTCTAGCCAGACTCTTAATTAAATGTGAATGTGAAACAGCTACTTATACCAGACCTTGGACATCTGTTCATGTTCCTCTTTCTTGACCTGCCCATCAAAGTATCTTTTTAAGATACTAGTTTCTGACCTTTGTCTCCCATAGGAGCTAGACTCCTACAACTGCTGCTGCTGCTTTTCCCATACCAGCCAGCTGTTTTCTTACCAATAAGTACAGCATAGCACCCGATTTACTAAAGATGATGAGAGCACCACCTCCTGATCTGCTTCTGGCACTCCATGTTTCAGCTAAGGTGATTCTCTGCCTCCTGCACAGCCCATATAATACTGTTCCTCAAATTTTGTGCTGCTCCAAGCTTTGTTTAAACTTCCTTAAAGTTACTCCTTTGCCCTCTGTTCCATCTACACAAAACACCTTGCTCCCCAGTTTTCTAGTTTCTCAACCAGTCAGCATTCAGTTCTGTGATTAATTTTAGAAAGTTCACCCCACTCTAATTTACCCAGTAACCTTCTCTCCTTTGAACACTTTCTGCTTCATGAAGCCTTCCTGAATAAAGAGAATACCTTCCAGATTTTTCCGTCAGCAAACTCTAATGTATTAGACCTATGATTTATGCAGGGTTACTACCTAGCTTTCTAGATTTCTCTAAAACTGTTGCAGCTATACACATGTATTTTTTGTCAGCATCATCATCATTTTAGATAGTAAGGACAATGACTGTTTAACTTGTGCTGTACAGGGTTCATCATGCCACTGTGAACATACAGGCAATTCAATACTATTTAATTATAGAGATCAAAATTACATTTGTGTTTGAAAAGCCACTTTTAAAAATACATATATACAGTTGAATATATGTGCATGCATGTGTGTATTGGCAAGTCCACTGACCAACTGCCACTCCTCCTTGCCATTAGGGTAAAGAGATGTTGACACAAAATAGTCTGTTTTCCCAATCCATGGGAATGTGGCAGTGGCTTCCACTCATTATACGTTAGTATTGAGTGCCCACAGGGTGCCTAACACTAGACGAGGTATTTAGACTGTGAGGAATATGGGCAATTCCCTATTGGCAGCTTTAACAGCTTTCCCTGTCACCACTTCGAACTGGCTTGCTCTTTGGGCTTCTGGATCAGATGAAATTCAGATGAGAGGGAATGTAAATCAAACTAGATGCTGTAAATGTAGTAGTATTCTATACCAAATCTTAAGAAATCCAGTGTTCACACCTCAATATTTATACAAGGTTTACATTGTCTCCCCATATAGAACACCTAGGTTCTTGACAAGATGATTCATAGGTCAAAACCAAGATGGACATTAAACTCTCCTTTAAGGTAAATGGTGTGTATGACAAATACAGATGTTCCTCAACTTACAATGGGGTTATGTCTGGATAAGCCCATCATAAGTTGAATATATCTTAATTGAAAATGGATTTAATCTACCAAACATCATAGCTTAGCCTAGCCAGTTTCTAGTAAATGTGTATCACATTCACACCATTACAAGGTCAAACCACTGTAAATTGGGGACTGTCTGTATATCATTCTAGGCACAGACTTAAGTGAGCAGGAAGAGTAAATCTTTTTTTGCATTTTCACTATTGTATAACGAGCTAGACCCACTCAGTGAAAAGTCTCAAAACTTCTCCCTGAAATGCTTCTGTGATAGATTTTTCCAGTCAAAATGCAGCTGAATAACAGGATGATTAAATAAGGTGCATGTCAAACTCATAGGATATACTGCTATGTTCTATTAAGGGAACAACATAGAGACTGAGAAGGAACCGTATTATCTGTCAATTCAAATGCAGGCATGGAGAGGGATTGAAATCTTCCTTTCATTCTTAAGATGACTGTCTTAGGACTTTGACTCTAGATCCAGGAGAAACAGGAACAAACTGTGGGGTAAATCCTAGACTATTTCTTAAGCTAGTGAGCACAGAATAGGAGATGGGTCTCACTATTGGAAGACTTTTTCAAACAATTTCAATACATTTATTGAGGCTCTTTTCTTTATAAATCCTCAGGGGTTTACTTAGGCGCTGACTGTAGAAGTTTTTCTCGTGTATGGATTTCTCTGTGCTTATTCAGAGCAGAGCTTTTACTGAAGCACTTGCCACAATCATGACACCCATATGGTTTCTCTCCTGTGTGGGTTCTATGATGTGCACGTAAGTCAGAACTCTTACTAAAACTCTTTCCACAGTCAGGACACACATGGGGCCTTTCTCCTGTGTGTATCCTCCGATGTGCACTAAAATGAGAACTGTTATTGAAGCTTTTTCCACACTCTTCACATTGATAGGGCTTTTCTCCTGTGTGCGTTCTCTGGTGAATTATAAGGCTTGAGCTTTGATTAAAACGCTTTCCACACTCACTGCATTGATATGGTTTCTCTCCTGTGTGGATTCTTCTATGGGTGATGAAATTTGAACTGTCACGGAAACTTTTCCCACAGTCGAGACACTTATAAGGTTTCTCTCCGGTGTGGATTCTCCGGTGTCTAATGAGACGTGCACTTCGACTGAAGCTCTTCCCACAATCAGCACATTTATATGGATTTTCCACTTGATGAGATATCTGATGCATGAGTTGGGAGTTTGGACCAAAGCTTTTGCTATATCTGAGATATTTATAGGGTCTCTCTCCCAAGTAAGGTCTCTGATGACTGAGAACTTTACCTAAACTCCTCTCTGGGAGTGTTGATTTTCCTCTTCTCTCCCCTGGGGTCCTTTCCCACTGTCTTCCTGATCTACAGTCACTCTCACTGCCTTTACCCTGATTAAGATACCGGGGAATTTTCCTTTCAGACCTTGCAAGTAATGTCCTATGTAGTTGTACTTCCTCAGAAATATCCCGTTTTAGATTGTCTTCATTCTCAAATCCAGCCTCAAAACCTGATATGAGAATAGAATTTTAAAAGTTATCCATTTCTTCAATTATTTTTTCCCAGAGTAAAGCAAATATCACATTAGATCATTAAAGATAAAAATTAGGGAGCTCTAGATCCCAAATAACTACCATCTATTAAAATTCCATTGTTTTACTTTTCTACTTGGTAATGTCACATGCTTCTCATTGATATAGGGCTGATTATATATTTTAACTCTTCCTGGATACCCAGGATCTTCAGAAAATCTCAGTATAACAAGAAAAATCTACCAGATTTAAAACTATCACCATGCTTATACAGGAAAGACACTTTATAATGCTACATTTTGTCTCATCTCAGGCCTATCATGATATTCTAGTTGATGTTCTTTGCTAGTAACTAAAGGGATTAGAAGGGAATGGCCAGGAAAACTTTGGGAAACTTTTATATCCAAAAAGAGCGACATGAGTCTCCTTCCACTCATTCCAATATACGTTGAGAATAAAAACAGAGTAGAAAAGTACTTGATGTCTTTCAAAGAATAAAAGTCCTTCCGAGAAGAATTTTGCTAGGTAGTATCTCACTAAAACATTCTCTTTGCCTATAGAAAGATAATCACTAAATGTTTCAGAAGCACTTTAATGCCCAAGCTAAGCTTTTAATATTATTCTGAGTATCAAATGCTAGACTCCCTGGGCCTAGGCTATGTGAATTTTCAGAATTTTCAGATACTTGCAAATTTTCAGTTTGAATTTGTAGAATTTTCAGATATTTCAGATAAACTCTGGATCCCAAAGTTCCTGGACTAAATCTGAGAGCATAAGACTGCTGAGTGTCAGCCTGTATCTCTGCCCCCTAAAGCAGTATTTTTGCATAGAAGCCCAGTCTTAAGAGATGCCTCATGAAATAGAAGTTCATCAGATTAAATGAAATCTCAGCACCTTAACATGTAAATAAATTTTGTGAGTCTCCACGAGGGGTATTTAGCATTTCCTAAACCTAGAAGCCTTTTAGTGGAACATATTAATACTCCCATGGAATTGGTACTCCATGGAACACTCTTGAAGAATGATGACCTAAAGAACTTTTTTGGGGGGAAAAACTGCTATTTATTGAATACTTACTGTGTGCCCAGGCATTGTGCTAGGTGCTTCACCAAGGTACCTCATTTACATCAACCTTTTGAGGTTGGTCTTCATAGATAGTAAACTTACAGGGTTAAATAACTTGCTGAGTCACTCAGCTAATAAAAAACAGGTGCAGATCCACATATGCATGCATGTATGACTCAAAAATCAGAATTCGTATTCCCATAAGGGAAGCCATAGTGAAGGTTTTTTTTTTTTTTTCCTTATACAGCAGCAGAGATTCAAAGGGTCAGTTCCCTCAGAAATCTCAGGCTTTTGCATATGTGTATCTGAAGAAAGAGGTTACCAGGTTTTCAGCTGGTATACAAGCTGAAACTAGAAGAACAAAGATAATGAGAATCAACTTTTAAAAACCTGGCAGCTCACATGTAGATGATAGCAAACTTACAAAGTTTGCAACCATCTGGGATTGATGCTGTAGTGTGAGGAGGCAAGTCAAGTAAAAAATTTATATCCCCTCACTGAGCTGCTTTAGTAGAAAGGGAGCATGGAGAAGAGATAGGTGGTCACAAGAAGAATCCATGAGACCTGGGTATAGAGGCCAGTTCTCCTGGTCTTCAGTCTGATGATTTTTCTCCTAAGTCCACTGCCTCCCCTTTGCTGTTTAGATCTTAAGAAGTAAAAGGATCTTACCACTGGGGCTCTGGAATAAGACTGGAGCACGGGTCATGACAGCCCCTGGGGGTAGCTCAGTATCCTCTTCATCATCCTCAGAATCATCATCTTCTGTGGCTTCTTCTGCCTCCTCAGCTTGCTTCTCAGCTTCGGCCTCACTGGTCTCCTGGATGGGGCAAGAGGCTGTGTCCTCTTCCTGACCATCACTGGGTGGAGTAGCAACCCGGGCACTCACTAAAGCATCCATCTCTTCAAAGAAGGGACAGGTCTCTGGTGCTTGGCCATTCTTAACTTTCCGATAGCTGGTTTGTAGGCTTTTAAACTTTGTCCGACACTGCTCTGGTGTCCTAAGGAAGCCATATTCCCATAACCGCTCAGCCACTGCTCCATACAGCTGGCTGTTACGGTGACAGTTCCGGAGGGCTTCGTAAAACTGAGTCTCACTGAGAATTGCAAGATAAGTCTTTGTCTCTTCATAGCCCCAGTGTACACCTGTCACCAAAAGAGAAATTTCAGCTCCACTTAATCCAGGGCTTTAAAGCCTCAGTGCCATGAAAATTTCCGAAAGAATGACTCAAAATATCAAGGAACAGTCTCTCTTTTAAAAATATGACATTGCTGCCTAATCCCTATTATGGCCCTTCTTCACTTGCCACAATCTCAAAAACAAAAAACAACAATAGCAAAGACCTGCAAGGGTACAAGATAAGAACTTGATAGTCATGCACCTTATCATTAGGAGAGAAGGACTGGCAGAACCCAGAAAAAGGAAGGAATCAGATCAGACATCTCCTGGCCTGAACACATGCCAGTGCTGCAGGCCCCGCTTAGGCAGTACTTCATCAGAATCATTATAGACTCTGCTCCCTGAAGGTACCCAAGGACAAAAGAAGGGAGTCAAAGCATCTTCCTCTCACTTGAAAACTAGCTGGAGATTACACGTTTCCATTATCTTCCACTCAACTGCAAGTAAAGGAGGAGGGGGAAGAATCGGAAAGGAGGGAAAAAGCAGTGGGAAAGGAGGAAAAGAAAACAAAGATAACAAAAATAACAGTAGCTAACACATGTGCCACATTTGTGATTTACTCCAGTGACAAAAAAAAAGAATGAAATAAAAGAGAAAAGAAAAGTGGAAGATAGGAAGAAGACTAGAACAGAACTAAAGTAACATCACACACATAATAAAAAATGAAAGGAAGAGATCACTGTTCACAGTGGACCTGCAACTTTAGAGATGTAGTCCTGCTGCCATGCCCCATTTTACAGTTCAGGAAAAAAACTTTGAAATGGTCAGATAATTGTCCAAGGGCACTCAGCTGTTTGGTGGTCAGGATTAGAAACAAAGCCTCCTGACTCGTATTTTGGTGCTCTTTCCATAACAACATGGTTGTAGAAATTACGTCAGCAGTAATAAATGATACAAAACTGTTCCACAGGCAAGTACTATTTCAACATAAAGTGTTAAAAAAGATTTCTTGCTGTAGGACTTCTCATTCCTCTTTAAATGCCAGTGTGTGTTGTGAATCTCATAAGGGAGACTCAGAAAATGTTTCTCCAACTTTGGGCAATCCTTCACTATGTTTTTCTAAGTAAAAAGGAATGCATAATAAACTGACTTTGAGATTAGGGAGAGTAAAAGATAAAGCACCAGTTTACATAAGGTGCTCAATGGATATTAGTTCTCAAAGATAAAGTAATGCCAAGCTTTTCTCAGCCTTCAATGGTTTTATAATCAGGAAAAAATAGTAAAGAAATGGAAGGAATATTTTTTTCAAGACTCTTGAATTTTCTGAGTGTATTTCTTTAAAATACCTACAATTACTCCCTACTTACTACTTATCTCACTGACTTTCCCACAGGGGAATGAAATACACATAGAACTGAAAAGTGCCTCTGTTCTCTTTTTAAGTGATAATGTCTATTTAGGTGACATTAAGCTTCCTGACTCCACATCCAGTCTCATAACTCAAGTCTAATCCCAAAACCCCAAGAACAAAAGCTTCTTACCACTTGGGCTTCGGAATAGGACAGGTGCAGTCGAGTTGTTGGGGTCCTGGGGGGTAGCTTCCTGGCCCGTTTCATCACTGTCAGACTCTTCAGCTATGTCCTCTCCTGCTCCCTCATGCTGCCAGCTCTCGTGCCCTGGCTCCTCAGTTTCAGCATCACTGCCCACCAATCCAGAATGAGAAGCTACCTCTTCCAGGCCATTACTGGGCAAGGCAATGACCTGAGCACTCATTAGGGCTTCCATCTCTTCAAAGAAGGGGCAGGTCTCAGGTGGGTGGCCACTTTTGACTTTCCGATAGCTCTTCTGGAGACCTTTGAACTTGGTCCGACACTGTTCCAAGGTCCGGAGGAAGCCATACTCCCGGAGCCGCTCAGCCACAGCCCCATATACTTGGCTATTCCGATGACAGTTCCGGAGAGCCTCATAAAATTCAGTCTGACTAAGAATTGCGAGGAGAGTTCTGGTCTCTTCATAGCCCCAGTGCACACCCACCACCTTCTCATCCTCAAAGCCCCAGTGATCCTGTTCCACCCAGCTTCTTTTCTCTCTCCTGGATGGTAACAGACCAGCATGCATTTGTCTGTCTCCTGTGTGACTGCCTCTTGGGAATTCCTTTTCCTTGGAGCCCAGATCTGGGATCCAAGGCTCTCCTTGCTCCAACTTGGAGACCACACCAGATTTAGGGAATGGAAATCCTGCTTGCAGGGAAGCAAACAAAGGATATCATATGGACTGATCATAAAAAACATCTCTGAGTTCAGACCTGCCTTTTTTTTTTTTTAATCCAAAAGGCTTATAAAGAAAGTGTCTAAAGAAATATTTTCAGAAAGTTCAGTGAGTTGAAGAAAGTAGGGGGAAAGACATGAAACCTCAAAATATGAGAAATATTTTATTTTCCAGAGCAGGGTGACAAAAGAGGAAAAGGTTCCGTTGTATGTTCAGAGCAGATAATTCTGTTCCAAGTTGCTCCCTAGTCCTCCTGACCACTTGTAGGCAGGTCCCCTGGCACTGCTGGGAACAGTCATTTCCTGTCTCCTATAGTTCTCCACTTGGGGCTAGAGAATTAAACTCAGAGTGATTTCAAGGGGGAGGGGAGCAGAACAGAGATGGTCTTCAACTCATCTGTTTCCTTCACACTTAATCACCAAGTTTTAAAGATTTTTCCCTTAGTATGTCCTTCCCTATTCCTACTACCACCATCCAGGTATAGACTCACCTCACACCCAGAAAACTACAGCAGTCACTGTCCTACTTAACTCGAGGCTCTTGCTCCCTCAGCTCACATGCTATATTGCCGGGTCTTAACCTGAGTTGCACTATCTATTCATATCAGACTCTTCTCATATCCAAATTTAACCCATTCTTCAAGAAGCTGCATTTGTCAGTGCCCTGGTGAAGCATTCCCTACAGCCCTCCCTCATCTCCCACTCTGCCAAATCCCTATTGTACTCACAATAGAGTAACAAGTCATTGTTTGGCATTGTTTCAGTACAGTTCAATTCAGCACATATTTATGTTTGCTGTTATGTTCTCAAATCATATTGTAAGCTTTTTGAAGAAAGGCATCTTTTCTTTTGCAGAATTCCCTGCAAGGTGTTGAGCACATGGTAGGTGTTCAAAAACCGATTAATTCTGTAAATCTGTGTATGGTGTTGAAGGATTGCATCTGGATGACTAAACAGAGACCATTACCAAACTGGCTGAGAAGGCTAGCTTCTTGGATGATAATATCAGAATTCAGAACAACCTCAACGAGTTAAATGATCAAACAAAAAACATACAATAGGAGTTCAACATAGTACAAAGAAGAAAAACAAGCTCTACAAAATCATGTACAAGAATAAGCACTAGGCACAAAGACAGGAGGGAAAGCTATCAGGCCTGGGAGTTAACCAAGTGAACAATAATAATCAAATAATTAGTTGAGCTATTCTGAAAGAAAATATAGTGACATTCTAAAGTAAAATTCTTATTCTGCCTCCCTACCAGCCCCTCACTGGAATAATATATATAATTTTGGAGAACTTAAAGTTTCCAAGAGAGAGTAATAAAAACTTAGTATGTCTGAATAATGGAGTTGTTGGGAGAAAAGCTTAAAAAAACAAATATAGTTTGTTTTGGAGAAGGAAAATGACTAGAAGGTGTACTTTCAAGTATAGAAAATAATTTTTATCATCATTACCTAGAAGAAATAAAATAGTTCCAAGTTCTGATAAAAACTAGGGAACCATCCTTTGGCAGACTTATCAAAAGAGGAAATATAAGAATACTTACTGCAGCAGAGAGCTAAACTACATGCCTTTAGGAGGTTCCCACAACTGCATACTCTACAATTTTCACTCATTTCTAGAATCCCTTTCCCACTGTTCCCAACCCTATTTCCCAACTTAGAATGGCATCCTATCCTCCCATATGAATCTACTCCTCACCGCTCCTTTGAAAAGGTCTGAGCTTCTCCTTTGGGTTCATCTGCTCCTGTGGTCCCAGGTCTGGGCTTCTTGCCCTCTCTTTCTTGGGTACACCCCTGGGCTGGTGTTCCACTGACTCCTGCCGAACACTTAATAACTCTCGTGATGATTTCAGGGGTGTCATCTTCTCCAAGCGCACTTCCTGCCCCTTCACAGAGACTGTGACCTAGAAACAACCCCCATTAATTGTCACTGCAATGTCAAAATGAGGGGCATTCCCAGAGGAGATTATTTAATACCCTAAAAGAGACTGTCCTTTCGAGATATGGCTAGGGTTGGGTGGGGGAGTGGGGTGTTAATAGCAAACAAGGGTCATTCTTACTCCATTACTGTTAGAGCAGCTAAAACTCCAGAAGGAAAATATGAAAATAGCAAACCCAACTACAGGTAAAAAAGAGAGTTCCCTTTCTTCCCTATTAAATAAAAAACTATGAAACTGAAAAACTCATGACAGGATAGCAAAGGTACACCCAGGTAGCATCTCCAGATAAGCTGTACCTGAAAAAAATTACCTGTTCCAGGACTAGAAGTATAAGCACCAACAAGGGAGATTGTGCCCCTCTTTAAAATTGTCTGACCCTTAATTTGACCCTTTATCTTTGCCCTTGCCCAATCACACACTTCTGAATTTCCCCTCCCTTCTCACCGAACGTCCAGGTCTTCCAGGCTCTCTTTCTAAATCTTCCACCAGAGCCACAGCCTCCTCTCCACTTTCTGGACATTGCTCCTGTACCCATTTCCGGATCTCCCGGGGTAAGACCGTCAAGAACTGCTCTAGCACCAGCAATTCTACAATCTGCTCCTTGGTGCGCACCTCCGGCCTTAGCCACCGACAGCAAAGTTCCCAGAGTTGGCTGAAAGCCTCACGGGGCCCAGCTACCTCCTGGTAATGAAACTTCCTGAAGCGTTGTCGGAAGGTCTCAGAGTTAGCACCATTCCCTCTCAGAGTGGGTTTGGCCATCATTCACAGCAGAAAGCAGCTTCCCTCCACTTAAGGGTCTGGGCTCCAGGGCTTACACCTATCTTCCCATGTCCTTGGAGAATCACCTGCAGATGAGTATCTCTCTGAAAGAAGAGTTTCCTCCTAGGGTAGAGAGAGATGACACTATCAGAAGGAATATACTCATATCTTAAGTCTTGCCAGAGCTGGCCTGACTTCCCATATATATGCTCCATGTAGCCATCTGAGGCAGCACTAAATTCAGGACTGCAAGCCAAACAGCATGGAGAGAAACCTTTCAAAAGCTGCGCTTCTGGGCGACTTCCCAGGGCAGCCCGGGGAAGCAGCAGAGACAAGAAAGTAGCCTGCTTCTCTTTCACCACCTCCAAATCTGATCCCATTTAGCTCCCCTCACCAATACTGCATAGTGAGTTCAAACCATATGGGAGACCGGGAGTTCAGAGGATTTAAATAAAGACAAGTCACCATCATGCTCAAAGCAACAAAAAGCCTCTGTCCAGCTGATCGCAGCTGACCTCCCACAGTACCTGCGAGATCCTCGGGACCCTCTACGTCTGCCCTGCCCCCTTGGACCTACAACTATCAATTTCCACCCCACACAAAAAAGTACTGAATACTGAGTCTTTGTTTTCCCTCAGTAGAAATAACCGCTCAGGAAATATTTGGGAACTACTAACAGGAAACCTCGCGCATTGGGAGAAGCTGGTTTCGGCTCCTGACGCGAGGGCTGGGTGAGCTTGGGGAGAGTTGCACTGAGTTGAAGGAGAGAGAGAGTCCGAAGGGACAGTAGCAATGGGTCCCCTAAGGACGATCTCGGGTGCTGCTGGCCAGGAGATCCGAGCGCCGGGGCGTTCGCGGGCGCTGAGCTTAGCTCAAGGAGCGGCGGGTGCGGTGTTCCGGCCTCTTTGTCTTGGTTCCCTCCGGCCAGGTCACTCTTGGAGCTGTCGTGCAGTCCCTTCCAGAGGCCTCCGACCGGGCAAAGGCGCCCTGAGAGCACCCTCCGGCCCACCCTTGGGGATGTCTCCGTCTCAGGCTGTCCCTCAGCCCACTCGCATCTCTGCCTGCCGGCCAGCTTCACCCACCCAGGGTGGACCCTAGGCCCGGCTCTCCAGCCAGCCTCCTAGTCCAGCTCCCAAACCGGAAGTCCGAGCGGGTGACTCTGGCGCTCAGGGCGCATGCGCAAAAGCAGCTACCTAGACTCTCCAGCGGAGCCGGGGCTAGAGTCAGCCGATCGCGTACCGCGCTTCCGGGCACACGGCGCTCACTTTCCCCGTTTTCCGTCAGCTCCTCCAGCAGCAGTTGTCTCGGCGGGTAGATTCAAGAGGAACTGTCAGTCCCAGGGGCCTGTGCGCGTGTCAAGAAGGGGGCATTCGACTTCGCGGTAGCCTGGAGGGCCGCTAGAGGAGGGAGCGACGTATATAAAGACTCGTGGTCCGCCGTGGGAATGATCCACGAATTGCTCTTGGCTCTGAGCGGGTACCCAGGGTCCATTTTCACCTGGAACAAGCGGAGCGGCCTTCAGGTACCGCCCGGCTAAGAGCGCGGGAACTAAAGAGAGCTGAGTGGGTAGACCTGAGCCAGTGCATGGGGGAGGAGTCTTAGACTGAGGAGGCGGGGCTTGTGGGGGCGCGGGGCGTGTTCCTGGGCAGGTAACTAGAGGGCAGTGCCCCGAGGGGTCTACGGGTGACGTCGACACCTTGAGAGGGCTGGGCCTAGGCTGGGAAACGGAGGGATGACCCTGCCTTCGGGGAGGGAGCGGGAGACCTGGACCACACCTGGGACCACACCTGAAGTTGAGGCGTTTGAGTGAGAGTTGCTGGAAAACTAGATATAACAGTGAGAGAAGCACTTTCTCTTATGTTCACCCTTGCACTCTTTTATTTATTTTATTTTATTTATTTATTTTTTTATTGCCTACAGCATCTGATCTTCCTAGGTGGTCTCCCATCCAAGTACTAAGCAGGCCCTACCCTGCTTAGCTTCTGAAATCAGACGCGATCCAGTGTGTTCAGGGTGGCATGGCCGTACTCCACCTTTGCACTCTTTTGAATTGAGTTTTGAAAGGTAGACCAACTACATAGTGCTTAACGCACAATAAGGGTTCAGCCAATTTTGTTGAATGAAAAAATGAATAAGTGTGTTTCATGACTCCTTTCTCAGGAAATTTTTGCACCATGAGAATTTAGAAGGGGGCCTTCGTGTAATCGGGAATATATGAAGAGGAGAGGCTACAAACTATATGCATTATTTCATTTATCTTTATAATCACCTATCTTCATATTACAGATTAACTGCCTGTGTCACATAGTTGGTAATTGGCAAGCTTGATCTTGAACCCAGGTCTGTTTGGCTCCAGTATCTGAACTAGTCTTTTCTACTAATCCTTCTGAAAGTTATATTATCTAATCCTCTCAGTAAATTAGTAACTAGGTATTGTTAGCCCCAGTTTACAGATGAGCAAACTGAAGCTTATAGTGGCTACTAGTTCTGGTAATGGCAAGATTTGTATCTAACTCTGTGTGATGACAAAGTCATGACTATTTCTGTGAGAATTGGCAGTAGAGACTGGGGAAGAGCAGAAAAAGTACATTTTAGTCAATAAAACCTATACATTCAACAGTTCCTCTTGTTATTCTTTTCCCTTGTAAAACTAGCACAATGTCAGGCATATAGGAGGAAATTGTTCAGGAAGAATTTGTGGATGCTTTACAATCTGAAGTACAAAGACATAACAGTGTAGGAAAGATGGCTGCCTTTCTGTCTTATAAAAAAGTCTCAATGAGATATTTTCCTCAAGATCTCAGCTTTAAAGTCACCTCCTCAGAACAACTTTCTCTGAGCATCTCTTACGCATCCTCCCCTTATGCAATTATGCTCTTTCACAGCAAATTGTTTCTCTTATAAGACTTACCGCAATTCATGTTATTTATTGTAGTTGCCTGTTTCTAGTCTTTCTCTCACATATATATTGCCTGTGGGGGCAAATACTACAGTGATCGTCATAGATGTACCAGAAGCATCTGGCACAATTTCTGCCACAAAGTAGGTGTTTAGATATTTGTGCAAGAAAAGGCCACCAAAACCAGCAAATGTTGCATATGTTCTGCAGAGCAGTGTTTTTCACATTTGAATAAAGGAGAAATTTGTCATGATTGCCTACCGTTAATAAAAATCCTTTCATTGTAATATCGAATATGTATACACATTAAGCTAAGTATAAATTCAAGTATATTACTCTCTTAAATAACTACAGAACCAGATTTTTTTTACAAAATAAACAAAACTACTGAAATGACAAATTTGAATTAACATCGGCACTATTGACATTTTAGATTGAATAGTTCTTTGTTGTGGGAAGTTATCCTGTGCATTGTAGTATGTTTACCAGCATCCCTGGCTCTGCTAACTAGAAGCCTAAGTAATACCCCCTGAGTTGTGGTAAACAAAAATATCTCTAGCCATTACTAAATGTCCCTTGGGGGGCAAAATTGAGAACCACTGATATAATGTGACATATACTGTTGTTTTGCTGAAACTAAATCACCAGATTGAGTTTAATAGAATGACTTTGCTACATATCATACTCTGTATTTTCTCTTTTGACTTCAGTAACTAATGTAGAGAATGCTTGTTCATATAAATAGATTGTACCAAATGCCATCAATAACTTTAAGGTATCATTTGCTGTTTTAGAATAACTAGACCTTCAGCTTTTCTAAAACTGCCAACAAGCACTGCTCAAAATGCAAGTTTTAATGGGAGTATCACTTGATAACTGGATAGAGCTGTCCTAATAAAAAAAAAAATGCTTACATGTATTGAGTACTTTTTATGTGCTTGGCACATGCGATTTACATGTTTTAACTTATTTAACCCTCACAATTATTATCTCTATAGGTATAAAAATTGAAGCACAGAGAGGTATTGAAATTTGCCTAAGATTTCAAGCAAGTGAGAGACAACTCAGGGATTCAGACCCATCTGGCATGACATCATGTTGCCTCTAAGTTATTAACATGAGATCTGGTTAGCATTTTGTCATTAAAATCTACATTAAGTGGATTTCCAATCAAATTATTGTGAACTCGGTAACAGAAAAATTCTTCTTTGCCTATTACCACATTTACTATGATATAAAGATGACATCCACAAAATACAATACTCACAATATGAATATGTAATATGCTAAGTTCTTTGGGGGGTAGTAGCCACATCTAATTTTGTTCACTATTTAATTTCAGAATGTTAGCACAGAGCCTGGGGTAAGTAGATGTTCGTTAAAATTTGGTTGATTCTTCAAAGAAGCTATACTATGGCCAATAAACAAATGAAAAGATGATCAGTATCACTAATCATTACGAAAATGCAAATCAAAAGCACAATGAAATATCACTTCCTATCCTTTAGGATGGCTATATTTAAAAAAACAGAAAATAATAACTACTGGTGAGGGTTGTAGAGAAATTAGAACCCTTCTGCTCTGCTGGTGGGAATGTAAAATGGTGCAGCCCTGTGGGAAATGGTATGGTGACTCCTCAAAAAAATTCAACATAGACTTACCAAATGATCTAGCAATATCTGGAAATATAACCAAAAGAAGTAAAAACAGGGATTTGAACAGTTATTTGTACACCCATGTTCATAACAGCATTATAAATAGCCAGAAGTTAGAAGCAACTCAAGTGTCCATGGACAGATGAATGGATAAACAAAATGTGGTCTATACCTGTAATAGAATATCTTTCAGTCTTAAAAAGGAAATTCTAACACGTGCTGCAACATGGATGAATCTTGGAGACACTATCATAACTGAAATAAGGCAGTCTCAAAGGACAAATATTGTATGATTTCACTTATTTGAGGGATTTATAGTCAAATTCATAGAGACAGGAAATAGAAGGGTGGTTGCCAGGGGCTGGGGGAGGGAGAACAGGGAGTCATAATGGGTATAGAGTTTCATTTTGGGAAGATGAAAGCGTTCTGGAGATGGATGGTGGTGATGGTTGCACAACAATGTGCATGTGCTTAATGCCAAGAACTGTACACTTAAAAATGACTAACATGGTAATTTTTATGTCTATTTTGCCAAATTTTTTTTAAGTTTGTTGAATGAATGCATTCTCCCACTACTTTTTTCTAGTTAAACTGCTGTGAAACCTTTATATAGCATACTAGGTTATCATTTGGCCATCATTTAAATTAAAAGTACAAATGAAAATATGGATACTAAATGTATATGTCCAGTTATAAGGTGCTTTTACAGATTATAGTATGCTATATTTATTTTACATTTTTATTGAAAACAATTTAAAATTTCATAGAGAATTTGTAAATCCTAAGAATATGTCTGAGAAACCCCTGGAGTCTGCTAAAGAGACTTTTTTGCAACCAGGTCAAACCCCCATATCCTTATACACTCACTATTCCTGAAATATTGTATAAGAAACAGGTAATAGTAGCTGCCTCTGGGGAGGCTGACTTATTTTTATCGTACTCCATTTTGTATTGTTTGAATTCTTTACCATGTGTTAACACCTATTTCAATGAAGAGTTAATTAGGTTGGGGTTGGGGAACATACCTTTGTAATGGTTTGGAAATAGTTTTGTTATCCATAATTTACCAATCTTGAATAGGCATCTTGAGAAAGGAAATGATAAATAGCGTAACACACCTGAAGCACCTCAAAGACAGGCACTCAGTGAATCACAGGCATTAGTGTTTTTAGCCTGGTTCCTCTTCTGCAGGTGTCACAGGACTTCCCATTTCTCCATCCCAGTGAAACCAGTGTCCTGAATCGACTCTGCCGACTTGGCACAGACTATATTCGCTTCACTGAGTTCATTGAACAGTACACAGGCCATGTGCAGCAACAGGTAGGTTCCTGTTCTCAGGGAATGTACATCTCCAGAGGGTTCGAGGTATGTAAGGCTTTCCGTGAATCTACTGGTAATTCATGTGAAATAAATTGCAAGAAGTTATGAATTTCTCATCACTGGAATTATTCAAGTGAAGGCCAGGGAAAATATACACAGAGACTAATTACGACAGATTGGTATAAGAGAAAATACACTTTGCCTGAGTTTTAGGAGAACTGAATTAAATTAGTTCGAGCTGGACCAGAGTTCCAATTCCAGAGGTAAAATCATAAAGCATTATTTCAAATTCCTTTGCCACTCCGCTTCTCACTACTTTAGTCACATTGAGGCAAGCAACTAAAATCTTTGGGCTTCATTTTTTAAATTTGTAAATAAAAGAGTTAAACCAGAGAAGGTACTTGTAACATTGTAAGCATTTTATAAATATTATCCATACCGTGAATTAATTGGAAGTCAGTATAGTGTAGAGGTCAAGGATTTGTGTCCCGCTCCATCACTCACTGGCCATAGACTGCTCAACAGTAACCAAATGCTCAGTAACTAAGGCTCAGTGTCCATACTTTTCTCATAGGGTTGTGAGGAGTAAACAAGGTAATTTATGCCAAATGCCTGGTACATAGTAAGCGCTCAAAGTTTTTTAAAGAGAAGTTTTAAAGTTCTCTTTAACAGTCTGCAGTTCTGTCACTGATAAGTAAAAAGACTGCCAAATTGTGTGACTAATTCAGTGATGACTGTTTCCCATTTGAAAGAATGATTCTGGTTGAAGAGAAAGACGGGGACTTCTAGAAAGGAAGAAGAAGGATGCTTTTCTGAAATAATGCAACCAATACCCTCTGGCCCCTTTTTCATAAATTGGTTGTCAGGCCTTTGGTGGTAATCTGTGAAGCAAAGGAGTTAAAGGATAATGCCTCATATTTTAATCTCTGGGATGGATTCTGGTTCACTCAAACTGATGTTATTACAGAGAAAATACATAAGCTAAACATGAGTTTAAAATATAATCAGTGTCAGTTTGCCAAGAAATCACATTAATGAGGGCACATTTAATTACCACACTTATAATCTGTATATATATTGATATAGGTGGAAAGGCCTCTAATTTTAATTTTTTGTATATAATACTTAAAAGAAAAAAATCTGCTCTATATTCGTGTGACTGTGTGGGTTTCATCTTATGTAATATGTGAATTCCTACTTTCCCAAAGTCTAAAGATATCTGTAGTAACTCTTTATTGGAAAAGTAAAAAGCATACTCATTTTCTCTTTCATTTTGTGATAAATGAAGACATTCATTTCTCTACAGCAACAAAAGATCAAAACAAAATTGACTGATTGTAAGTTGATCTGATCTACTTCACCCTGTGCCCATGCTATTCTTATTATAGCTGTCAACATTCATCTCCAGGAACTACTAGTATCTTTTGCAGCATCCCCTGGCTACCCTGTGCCTTATAGTTCTTGAGCCCAAGTTTCCTACCACATTTGTTGCTGAATTCTGCTGTTGTATCTACTGCTACCAGAGCCTGATCACCCAAATCAGTACATAGCCAGAGAAGCTAGTCATCATGGCCTCTAGTTAATTGTTAACCATAATTCCCCATATAAAACTACAGAAGAAGTTCTTATAAAAAGATTTTAGGTTTCCTGAAAGACAACCATATTTATAAATAGCCTCTTGGTGAGAGTCTTATAACTCCCCATGTTGACTAACAGATTCATGTTGAAATGAATTGCCAGGCCTGGCAGGGGAAGAGATATTAGAATGAGGATGGAGGTCATTTTATTTATTCAGTAAATATTTACCCTCTGTTCCATGAACTGTGTGAAGAGCTGAAATACAAAGGTGAATAAAATGTGGGCCCTTGCTTCATGAAGCTCTTGAAGGGGACATATAAACAAAAGTACAATTTCAGTACTAGAGATGCTATGAAAGCAACAAGGGAGAAACTATTAATTCCCTAGGGAGAGTTAGGAAGGACTTTGCAGAGAAGAGATGATTGAGTTGAGTCCTGCAGGAAGAGTAGGTATTTGTCACAAAGGTGAGTGCACAGTTATAAGCAGAACACATCCAAATTCATGGGGGTGAGAAATGGAAGCAAGGCACATTTGGTGAACTGCGGGTAGTTTGGAAATGAGGATGTGAAATTGGAAACAGTGAAAGATAAATTTGAAGAGAGGGTAAGGACCAGAATTTGCCATGTGGGGGAGTTTAGGTATTATTCTGGGGGCAGTGAGAAGCCACCAAAAGGATTTAAACTGGAAGTTATAAAATCAAGTTGTAGAAAAAACTCCACTGACAGTATGTAGTAGTAGTAACTGTTTGTAACATCTGGGCCGCTCGAAAAATTAAAATATCACATTTTAAAAGACAAGAACTCAAAATCCATCTCTTTGGTTGTTTTTTCTTCTCACTGAAGTACTGCTTTGAGATGGAATTATTGAAGCAAAAACAATACCACTAATAAGGGATGTCTTCCTCAGGTTTCAGGGTCTCAGCTGAGAAGCTGACTTCTCTTTGTTTGATTTCAGGATCACCATCCATCTCAGCAGGGCCAAGGTGGGTTACATGGAATCTACCTAAGGGCCTTCTGCACAGGTCTGGACTCCGTTTTGCAACCTTATCGCCAAGCACTGCTTGATTTGGAACAAGAGGTGAGAGGAGATATGGGAACAACGTTTCTGGGACAGCAGATTAGGGCATGTTTTTCAATTTGAAATGCCCTTTGATATGATCTGGTGGTTAAGAGAGCTATTTTCTGTGTGGCTGGAGGGTACGGTGTACATGCTGTGATTGCCCAAGCCATGATCAAACTGGCGTGCAGATCATGGCAAAGGTACCTAAGGGAATATATAAAAGCCCTAGCTTTGGTATTGTTATCACCTAAAAATCAGAATCTTCTGTAAATCTTCAGTTCTCAATCGCCTAAAACTAACACTAAGCCCATTCTCAGATTCCCTTCTAGTTTTCATAGATCAAATGGATTTGAGAAATTATGTATGGAGCCCTAATCACAGTGTTTTTTGTTGCAGTTCCTGGCCGACCCCCATCTCTCCATATCACATGTCAATTACTCCTTAGATCAGGTATGCTGCCCAAATAACAAAATGCCATGGAATCTGTTGATATTGTTAGAGTAACCTAACTTATAGCATTTTTTGGAAAACTTTTTTCTTCTGAATTCAGGCCCAGCATTTTATATTTTAAGATCATCAGAACTGTTTGAAAAGCTCCAAACTTAGTTAAAACTTAATGTCTGATGTTAATGCTCTATGTTAAGTGAAACTATTTAGAAACAAAAGCATTTCCTGAAGTAATGTTTTTCATTGTATTTAATTATAGACTCTCCTAATTATTCTCTGCTTTGCAGTTCCAGCTCCTTTTTCCCTCTGTGATGGTTGTAGTAGAACAAATTAAAAGTCAAAAGGTGAGAAGTTTCATTTTTTCTTTGCTCTTTCCTAGCACCATGGAAATAGTCTTAATTTTCCCTTACATTCTTTTTTGAAGACCCTTGATTTTAGTAGTTTTTATTTGTTAATTCATTCAACAATATCTGTTTGGGTATCATGCTGTCATGAATGCAAAAATAAATTATAACCCTGCCCTTAAGCACCTCCTGGTCTAGAAGATGGGGAAAATGTTAATAGATGTACCCAGGAATGCTGCTGGGTAAGAGAAAAATGCTATGGATATTTGGGGGTGAGAGCTTTTTGCACTAAGGATTTAGAACTGTTGGATATGGATCTTGAGGAGAAGCTGAAAGTTATTACTTAGAAAGACAGTATTAGGCTTATGGTTAGGGTGCTGGCAGTTTTCTGAGAATTAGACCATTGGGCAAAACCCAGATGTTTATTTTATTAGTTAAATATTCCTATTCTTATCACAAATTGAAAAGTTAGAGTTCTCAATGTCAGGGGAATGTCTTTTCTGGGCATTTAATAACTCAGAGGAATAAATGCTTTCACATTAGAAGAGATTTCACATTAGAAGAAGAATCTACCCAGTGGTCCTTAATTGGACCAAAACAAACATGTTTAGCTCCATGTTTTTAAGCTGTTGTATTTGTGCCTTAACTAATTAGGAGTGTTCACCTTGATGATTATATCTAGTTAACCAGTTAATTTGCTAGCTTGCTACTTCATTTTTTTGCTGTCTAAGTACAGAAACTTATGCTCTGCTGTGTTCATTCTGTGCCAGCAAAGCCATCAGGGGAGATGCTCTTTGGCTCTTCAAAGCTGATTGCCCTCATCAAATAACAGTGACCTTTTATTGTACACTTGCTGTATATCAGGCACTGTGCGAAGTGCTTCACATACATTATCACATGCAATCCTCTAAGGGGTCAAATAGGTTAAGAAAGTACCTAGGGTCACACAGATGGTAGTAAATGGTAGAGTTGGCATATACACCCAGGTCTCTCTGCCTCGAAAGACTATGCTCTTCAACATCCTACTAGTCTGTCTCCCAAAATTGGAGGGGACCTTCTTGGTAAGTGGACTTAGTGTAAGGATTCCAAGCCTAGTGGCACCTCTCAGTTGACTTTCAGCTTCCATTGGCCACAGCAAGGAGAGTGGAAAATGAATAGAGGGACTGAAGATGGGCACATTTTCCTTTTTGCCAGGGAGGTGGTAGAGAAGCTAGTGTGCTATGACTCTACAGAGTAAAAAACTGACGTGGTCAAGAACATGGGCTGGGAGTGAGATGGGGATGATTGCAAACAGGCACAAGGGATCCTTTTATTTTTTTATTTTTTATTTTTTTTACAAGGGATCCTTTTAGAATGATGAAAAGGAATTGCTGGTGATGTTTGTACACTGCTTTAACTTTACTAAAAATTGTCGAACAGTATATTTTAAATGGGTAAATTTTATGGTATGTAAATTATATCTCAATAAAGCAATTTTCAAAAAAGAGAGAGCCAGAGGACATAGCAAGAGGAAGCAGATTTTTGGAAAAATGTATACCTTATGAGTAGTCTGAATTAGGCCTTAATCTGAAATAAAGAGCTTTCTTTATCTCTTTGCTTGGGATTTCGACTCTAAATGTTTCTGTTTTCTCTACTACAGTAGCTCTCAAACTTCATTGTACATTAGAATCACCTGGAGCAGATTATTAAAACCAGGTTGCTGGACCCTACCCCAGAGATTCTGATTCAGTAGGTCTGGAGTGGGGCCCAAGAATTTATAGTTCTTATAACTTCCCAGGTGATGCTGATGCTGCTGGAGGTGGGTTTGGGTGTAGAGGGGGAAAGAGGCTATAGAATTCATACTTTGAGAACACCTGCTGTGATATTATGATTTATAATAAGAAATATATATATTTTGTCTTCATATTGTCTCTAGCACAGAGCTCCTAAAACTCTTGGAATTTCGTAAGTGATAAGAGTGATGAAGTTGTCTTGATATTCATAACAAACCCCTATCAACATCTGAATTGTTGTTAATGAGGTGACTTTTGGCAAGTACCTAAGGATGGGGGTTGGTTGCCAGGGGAACCAACCATGTAATTGGAGGGTTGGAACTTTCAGTCCCACCCACCCCACCCCACCACCTCCAGGGAAGGGAGTAAGGCTGGAGATTGAGTTCCTTCACCAGTGGCCAATGATTTAATTAGTCATGCCTATGTAATGAAGCCTCCATAAAAACCCAAAAGGACAGGGTTCGGAGAGCTTCTGGGTTAATGAGCCATAACGCTTTCCCGTGTGACCATGCAGGGTCAAACTCCGTGGAGACAGAAACTCCTTTGTTTGGGACCTTGCCCTCTGTATCTTTACCTGGCTATTGATTTGTATCCTTTGATAGTCTTTGTAAAAAACAAAACAAACAAACAAACAAAAAACCAGTAATCTGGTGAGCAACCTGTTTTCCTGAGCTCTGGGAGCCGCTTCAGCAAATTAATTGAACCCAAGGAGGGGGTCATGGAAACCTCTGTCTTGTAGCTAGTTGGTCAGAAGCAGAGATAACAACCTGAGCTTATGATTGGCATCTGAAGTGTGTATGGGTGTGCAGTCTTGTGAGTCTGAGCTCTTAACTTGTGGAATCTGATGCTATCTCTGGGTAGATAATGTCACACTTAAATAGAACCGTAGGACACTGCAGCCTCTGGTGTCGGAAAATTACTTGGTGGTGTGGGAAAAACCCCACACATTGGAATTGGAGTCTGAATTGGAACTATACATAGATCTGATGAGAAAGTTTATCCCTACTCTCTGCTGGATTGTGCCCTTTGGATTGAATATTGAATATGAATTTGTGCTACATAAACTATTAAAACAGAATCCAATTTGAAAAGGCTGTATTTTCCACAGATTCATGGTTGCCAAATCCTGGAAACAGTATACAAACACAGCTGTGGAGGTTTGCCTCCTGTTCGAAGTGCACTAGAAAAGTAAGTCATGGCTTAATTGGGTGTTGAGGGTTGGAGTGGGGTGGTCAAGTGACTTGACTTTGCACATTTTTTATTTTCAGGTCGTCTCAGGTTTCCTTTGGGAAAGTTATGACAAGGGTAGAAAAGACTAATGTGCAGGGAGTGCAAGTAACCCTTATGAAGGCTTAGAAACTGCAAAAAGAGGGCTATGAGTATCAAAGCTAGGATCTAGTTGCCTAGATACCCTTGAGGCAATCCTTTTTAATTGTTGGATCTAGTCATCCTTGGAGAATTTCCATTACATGAGCCAGATAAAGCTTAGCTACGTCTGAACTTGTGTATTTTGAGTAGCTGGTATTTTCACATCAAGGTCCTTAAAAATGTATATTCTTTATAATCCCATAATGCAACTCTTAGAAATTTTACCCTAAAAAAATTGTTCCAAAGAAGAAAATAACCATATATACAAACATTATTCATTGCAATGTCGTCTACTATATCAGCAAATTAGAAAATTACCAGCAGCAGAAGAAAGCTAAGTAAAGGTATATTCACTTGATAGACTATGAAACTATTAAAACTATAAATACTGTAATATGTAAAAAATATTTTTTATAATGTTGAGAAAACGGTACAAAATTATACGAGTCTTATGATTATAACTGTATTAGATATATGTGGACTTTGAGCAAAGGCTACTCGTTTGATCTTCCTATTTCCCTCTTCCACCTTATTTTTCAAAAGGAGGGTGTGGCATTAACTGCAAAATTAGAAACAGTGATCTCTGAGTCCCCCTCACAGCTCTTAACAATCTCCAATTGAACCACTGCACAAGTAAGCTCTCAAAAGAGTAGGAAACTTTCCAGAATGTGCTTTAGGGACTTAATTCTCTATTACTGTGCCTTTTTTTTCTAATTAAAAACATGCGTTTTGATTACAGAAAATACAGACATGCAAAGAAATAGAAATCACCTGTAATCTCAACCTCTTGAGATACTCAGCTTAACTTTGATGTTTATCCTCTATAGTTTCTCTCTGTATAAATATATATGTAGTTTTATGCGTAGAATATGAAACCTTGTGTAGATAATATGATGTATACATGTTTATTATATATTTGCAGGGACCAAATTTTACAGACCACATACTCAGATATGCAAAATGTAAATGGCTTCCCATATGATTTCTTTTTAAGTGTGATTCCACTCAATTAGCATACTACAAATAGCAGACTTAATCTTTAGTTTCTTTTTCTAAGTTATTTTGAAAAATATCAAATCTAGAAGAATGTTGAATGAACTGTACAATAAACACCTGTATATCCTTTAGTTTCACCAGTTAACATTTTGCCACATTTGATTTACTTTTTCTTTCTCCCTTTATATAAACTGTGCGATATATGTATGTAAATATATAAATGTACATGTATGCATACCACAATTTTTTGCTGATTTGAAAGTAGTCGCAGATATCATAACACTTAACCCCTAAATACTTCAGCTTGTATCCTTTTAGAAAAAGGGCATTCTCTTTTATAACTTCAATACCAAACCACACCCAAGAAAGTTAACATTAATTCAACAATATGTTATCCAAAATTATCTGAATTTTCTCAGTTGTCTTCCAGAAGTTCTTTATAGCTGAGTTGTTTTTTGTTTTTTGTTTGTTTGTTTGTTTTTTGGGTTTTTTTGCAATACAGGATTCACTCAGTGTTCACATGTTTCATTTGGTTGTTCATGTCTTTTTAATCTCCTTTAATTTGGAACAGTTCTCTTCCTTGCCTTTTTTTAAATCCTTGATGACATCGACATTTTAGGAGTTCTGACTAGTTGTCTTATAGAATGTTCTGCAATCTGGATTTTTCTAATTATTTCCTCATGATTAGATTTGGGTTAAACATTTTTGGCAAGAATACTACATAGGTCATATTTCCTGTTGCATCATATTGGAAAGCACGGAAAGTAAGTTTGTCCCATTACTGATTGTAAAGTTTTTGGTTGATCTATTTTAGAGGGACATTTTTCCCTTTGTAATTAATATTATTTGGGAGTGAACCTTTGAGACCATGTGAATATCCCATTCTCCAGCAATCTTTCCGTATTTTGTTTTAGTTTCTGCATTTTGTTGGATAATATTTTTTCAAGTATATTGAATCTATTCTCCCTATGTAATTTCAACAAAAATAAAACTAATTTAATACTGTGTTAGCCAAAAAGAGACTCCTGTAAGTCCATTTAATTAACAGGAATCATCAGTTTTGAAACTTAATTTATACGAAAGGAGGAAAGAAAATGTGCTTCTCCTAGACTATCAGAATATTCGCTGAACATTTCAAACTTTAATACATAAGCTACAAGTTTGGAATTTAATCAGTCCACTCACAAACATTTAAATTAAAATAGCACAATTATTTTTAGCTTAATTGGTCATTTCCCTTCTGACTCATCAAACTGTCAGGACTCTGTTGATCCTGTAGCAGTTTAAAGCATGCCCTCTGTTCCATTATGGGGGTTAATGTTCTTTAAGTGGACTTCTAAGGCTCTTGCTTTTCTCCCAACTCAGAATCCTGGCCGTGTGTCATGGGGTTATGTATAAGCAACTCTCAGCCTGGATGCTACATGGACTTCTCTTGGATCAGCATGAAGAGTTCTTTATCAAACAGGGCCCATCTTCTGGTAATGTCAGTGCCCAGCCAGAAGAGGATGAGGAGGATCTGGGCATTGGAGGACTGACAGGAAAACAATTGAGAGAACTCCAGGACTTGGTGAGAGAGCATGGCAAGAAGCCTAGCATACTTCTGCCAGGGGTCACACAGAACTACAGCTAAATGACCTTTTAGTGATCCTTCCAAGCCCCTCCAAGTTCATCATAGCCTGGGAACCTTCCGTAAATTCTTTAGATATAAACACTTGGCTTTATCTTAGCTTACTACTTAACTTAAACCTAATACCTAACTTAATGTGAGGCTACAAAATAGAGAACTATGAGATTCTTTTTTGTTTCCTTGTTTCTGAATATATGCTTTTAAAAGGTTAATAAGTCTTGTACTACTCTAAAGTTTTTAAATGCAGCTTGGAGTTTCAATTAAAATCCCTAAAGTCCTATATCGTCCTTATTCATCCATCTATCCATTCATTTATCATGTTACAACATTTATTAAATATCTTTTACGTTCTGGGCATTGTTCCAGGTGCCACAACTACATAGACAAATAAAATGTAGTCGTCCCCTATCCTTAAAACTTATGGTTTAGTGGAAGTTATAAGTAAACAGTAACATTACAGTGTACTAAATGCTCTGGAAAGAGTAAGTGTGGGTGTTCTCGGAACATGGTCTTAGAATAACTAGAGAAGGCTTCTCAGTGGAGTACGTGTCTAAATTGCAAAGAGTTGAGAGATCAACAGATGTTCTAGGCAGAGGGAAGGATGTGTGTGAAATACAGAGCCCATCAAGGACATGGCTCATTTGGGGAACTATTAGTAATTCAATCAAAATGGCCAAGTAAAGATGGAAATATAGCATAAGGGACAGTGGAGGGGATGGGAAAAGTGGCAATCAATGAAGCTGTTGAGTTAAGCAGCTGTAAGATCATGAAAATCTTATACATAGTGGGAAAGAATTTGGACTTGAACCTGAAAAGAACTGGTGGCCTGTGAAGAATTTTACATAAGATGTTAACATAATCAAACTTTATGACAAATTCTGGATGTAGTGTGGGGAATCATTTTTTTAAAAATCAAGATTAGCGGCAGGTAGGTCAGTTAGGAGAATGTTGGGGATACTTAGGTCAAAAATAATAGCCTTTAAACCAAGGGTGGTAACAGTAAATATGGAGAAGAATAAAGAATAAAGAGGCTTGAAAGAGACTTAGGAAAAAATAGCCCTTAGTGATTGATTGGTTATGGGTACAGAGGGAAGAATCAAAGATGATCAAGTGTCTGCCTTCTGCAGCTAGGCAAGTAGTGGTAAGAAATGTGTATTGCTGGTATTGGGGAAAAGAAAATGGGTCTTTTGAGTTTGCAGTACTTGTAAGAAATGTCCAGTGGGCTGAGCACAGAGCTCACGAGAGCAATTTTGCTTAAAGGTAAAGATTTAGTAGTCATCAGCATATGGAATTTTTTAATCTGGGGTCCATGGAGGACTTCAGGAGGTTCTGTGCAATATATGTTTGCATATTTGTCTGGAAGGTCCATGACTTTTATAACTGTCCTGTAATATAAAAAGATTTAAAATATTTGTTACAGTGGAAAATGCAGCCACAGAAGAATATGTATGATTGTCTATGAAGAGGGAGGAGAGCGAGAAGTAGAGGGTCTGGAATAGTGTCCCGAGGAATACTAGCACTGGAACCCACAACAAAGAGGGCAAAAAGCAGAGATCAAAGTCAGGATCTTCTAGTCCGAGGTGGAGCTAGATAAGGGTCAAATCAAAAGCAGTTCAGAGAATGGGGAGAAGCTAAGGATAAGAGGCTTCTTAGCCCAGTGAGTGGTTCTCAAACTTCAGTGCATGTCAGAATCACCTGGAGAGCTTGTTAAAACACAATTGCTGGGCCTCATCGCCCAGATTTTCTGTGAATCTGGGGAGGGGCTTGAAAATTTGCATTTCTAACAAGCTCCCACAGGAAGCTGATACTGCTGGTCCAGGAGCCACACTTTGAGAACCACTTGGCTGAATGACTTGGACTCAACGTAAAGAGCTGGGCAGAACACACATATGCGAGATAGTAAAATCATAGACATGTAGACCTGGAAAAAAATAAAGACCAATTAGTCCATTGTGCAAGGAAAGTTCCAGATCTAATGCCCAAAATTTCTTATAAAGTAGTAAAGGCAGCGTGAGGACTAAAATCCTAATGTTAAAAAAAACACCATTGTTATTTCCACCATGCATCTCTGACACTGGTAATTTAAGAATTATGTAACTTCAGATTTAAAGTCCCTGCTTCTAGGAAATATAAATCACAGGTTAGAATTACTAGATGTTTTCCCTTTACTTCATCCATCATCTTTGATATGGATTATTTCCTTGACCAGCGCCTGATAGAGGAAGAGAACATGCTGGCACCATCTCTAAAGCAGTTTTCCCTGCGAGTGGAGATTCTGCCATCCTACATTCCAGTGAGGGTTGCTGAAAAAATCCTGTTTGTTGGAGAATCTGTCCAGATGTTTGAGAATCAAAATGTCAACCTGACTAGAAAAGGTAGGAATCTCCTTGCCCAAAGTGTCCCTTCCTCAAAGGCCCTTCTCACTTGACATTGTGTGACCACAAAGTACGCCTGGTCACAGTGAGTGGCTAGTAATGTTCATGTACGAAGATGTCAGCACAACCATGACGTGCTTGCCAAGAAGCAGGTGAAGGAGCTACACCCCCAGGATCAGGGAACCCTGGTCTGTCCTGGTTGTTCTGTCTACCTGTGACAGTGCCTTCGTATTTTGCAGGATCCATTTTGAAAAACCAGGAGGACACTTTTGCTGCAGAGCTGCATCGTCTCAAGCAACAGCCACTCTTCAGCCTGGTGGATTTTGAGCAAGTGGTGGATCGTATTCGTAGCACAGTGGCTGAGGTTTGTCTTTCAGAGTATGTTTTCTTAGAAGGAGATGCGGTTAGAACTTAGCTTGGGAGGGATTGTCTGAGAGAGTCGAAGGGCAAGAAGTAGAAAATGAAAGCATTCTCTGTTTTTAATAATAGAGGCAGAACTGTCTTACTTAGCCTTTTCATACCTGCAGGAGTTTGCTAGTTAGCTCGTTAGTTAGCTAGTTGTATAAAGCTGGTTGGTTTCATTTCAAACAGCATTTTTAGTCTGTCTATATTTGGCAATAACTCCAAGGAATCAACACATTCTGACTAAGTTTAGTGTCTTATATTTTAGAGTGGCTTTATTACGTATTCTTTCATTTATGGAAATGTTACTCATGAAGAAGGCAGACAAGTGTACTTTTTCCACTCCTATAAATGAAGAAAATACTCAGCTAACTTGTGTGGTATTTCGCAGGACGTAACAAAGGTGCAGTCAGAAACAGGTCTTCTGACTCCTGGCTCATTGTTCTTCAGTGGATTGTGCTACATCCACCAACTTATATTGTGATTAATAATTTTTCAAATGGGCATATGTTCTGTGGCATATATAATAAAATTTGGATCATGGATATCTGTGAAAACGTGAAATGAGATCTTAACTGTTGTTAACTATGTTAGTGGTTTTCATTTCTGGCTATGCATAGACTCACCTGGAGAAATCTTAAAACATGAACTTGCACCAAGTTCTTATCTCCAGAGCTTCTGAATTGTAGGTTAGGAGGGAGTAGGTACTTCTGTTTATAACAACCAGTCAGTAACCTCTGTGCGTGATTTTGAAGCATAGCCAGGGCACTAGGGTCAGTGTCTAGAACTGCCAGAAAGCTTAACATCGGTGTCCTCATTTTGAAAGCCCATTAATCTATCAAGAATTATGATTTCCATTTTTGGTTACTGTCTCAAAAATTCCAAAGCATTGGAGAGTTGAGATGCAGACATAGAATGTTAGACCTTAAGGTGACCTTGAGGTATCACTTGATTTGATTCTTTATGGGCAAGTAAATATCTAAACTATTTAGAATACACTTTCCTGTCCTTTCGAAATTTCAAGACATTCTCTTTGGTCTATAGCCAAGGCAGCTTTTGGCTAAGGGGCTGGTGATGTCAGTTCCTTTTATTTTATTGAATCTATTTCTGTTCTTTTGTCATTTTTGTGATAATGGTTTGGAAAATATAATTAATGGAGGAAAGTAAAATTTTATTGAATGAATAATGTAGATTTCAAAATTGTTTTTTCCTTGTGAAATTTTGAAATGCATATATTGCTAGAAATTATACTTCTAGTTTATAAAAATGATGGACAGATATTTGAGTTTCTATAATGTAAACCCCTTCTCTGTCTTTACAGATATTCAGTAAAATAGCACAGTGGCTACCCACTAAAAAAATAAAAAATAAAAAATAAATAAATAAAAATAAAAATGATGGACAAAGAATTGAAGCTCAGACTCTTTGAAATGTTTTGATATTGTAGCTAATAGAAGGTTTTTTTGTTTGTTTGTTTGTTTTGAAAGGTATTATTGTAACAATAATAACAGGTTATAGTAATGAAAAGAAATACAGTGTACCCAGAAGGAAAAGCGGGGAGGGTCTTGCAAATACATATCATATCCATCTCCTTTTGGATCGCTCTTTCTCTCCTTTTTTTATCTTTTAAAAAAATATGCATACTATGTGAATCTATTTATATAAAGTTCAAAACCAGACAGAAGTTATCCAGTGTTAGACGTCAGGATGTGTTTGCCCTTGGTCAGTGGAAGGGGCACGTGCAGGGTTTTCAGGGTGCTGGTTATACAGGCGTGCTCTAATTGTGAAAAATCTTCGAGCCGTAAACTTATGATTTGTGTACTGTATATACTTTAGTACTTCGACAAAAAGATTATAAAAATTAATTCCTAGATACATAATAGTTTTTTATTTTATCTTTAGTGGTTTACTGCTCATCTAGAGAAATCGTATCAATTTTTGGAGGCTAATCATGCTTGGCAACTTGTTGAAGTCTTTAGTTCTGGTAGTTTGTTGATTCTATTGATTTCTCTAAGTAATGATCATATCATTTGCAAATAATGAAAGTTTTACAACTTGCCTTCCAATTTTAAATTTTTTGCTTTTTTTTTCTTACAATCTGTGCTAGGATCTGTAATACTGCATTAAACAGTTGGAGTGATAGTTTATATAAATGTGTAAAATAGAGTTGATAATGGGCATCTTTGATTTTTTTTGGCTCTTTAAGATAATGCATCTAAAGTCTACTACTAGAATGCTTGCTTTAGGCTTTTGCTACACCTAGTTAAAAAAAATTAACTTCTCTTTCTAGTTTACTATGAGTTTTTATCATAAATAGATGTTGAATTTTGTCAACTGCTTTTTCTATATCAATTAAGGTGCAGTTTATTGCTCTGAGTTCTTTTACTCCTTTAGTCTGTTCATATGGTAAATTCCTGGTTGGATTTTCAGATATTGAATCTTGAGGTAAACTGTACTCGAATGTAATGTTTTATGTTTTGATATTATTGAATTTGGTTAGCCAATACAATATTTGGAATTTTTGCATCTACAATCACCGGCAAAATAAGACTATACTATTCTCTTCTTGTATTCTTCTGTGGTTGTGGAATAAAGATTATATAAGCTTCATAAAATGAGCTATCACTCTTTTTCAGAATAATTAATGTAAGACAGGAATTGTTACTGAAAGTTTGAACTTACTGAAAAATTAAGTTAGGTTTTTTTTCACCAGTTCAATGTATTTAAAGACATTCCTTTCTTCTTGTACCAATTTTGGTATTTTCTGCTTTTCTAGGAACTTACCTATTTCATCTAGATTTAATTTCCAAAAGATCTCTGCTTATCTGTAGCTATTTGTTTTATTTTGTATTTTATTTATTTCAATGTTTTTACTTAGTAGTATTAATTTCAAAGAACCAGCTTTTTAAATTAATTATTTTTTCTGTATTTCATTAATATCTGCCTTTATTTTTCTTCTTGTTTCTTTGCATTTTCTGTTATTCTCTTCTAATTGCATATGGCGAAGCTTGACTCTTCTATTTTTAACCTTTGTTTCCTAAGAAATATATATAAAACTTTACATAGTGCTTTGACTTTGTCTCACAAGTTACTTTCATTATTTTGTTCTAAATAATTCTTAATTTCTCTATGATTTTTTTTAACCCAAGGAATTTATTGTTTTAATTTTATTGCAGTATAGTTGGAGTACATAGTCTGTATATTGGTCCTTTGGAATTTAGTAAGGCTTCCTTTATGGACTAATATTAGGTCTGTTTATTATTTTTAATTGCTCTCCATGTGCACAGAGAATGTATATTTCTGTGTTGAGTCTTGAGTTCTATGCATATTCTAATTCCTCATTTTTAGGTTACATGTTAAGCATGTGTATATTATAATGAATATATACTTAGTAATTTTCCTTTTGTGTATACATAACGTTCTCTTTATCACTTATTATATGTATATATATTGACTTAAATTTTATTAGCTATTAAGATCACTATCCAGTTTTCTTTCATGTCATATTTACCTGATATGGTAAATATCTTCTTCCATCCTTATTTTCAACCTTTCCATGTGCTTTTATCCCACCCTTCTTACCCTCCCTCTCCCCAAGCAACCATTGAGATCTGTCATGTAATCTGTCACTATAGATTAGTTTGCATTTTCTAGATTTGATATAAATGGAATCAAACAGTATGTACTCTTTGGGTGGGGCGGGGGGTAGTTGAGTCCGGCTTCTTTTACTCAGCATAATTATTTTGAGATTAATCCATGTTACATGTATCAATAGTTTATTCTTTTTTCTTTAGCTTGCACAGAACACTCTTATAACCTTTGTTAATACATGTTAAAACACTTCTCTAAATGTATTACAAGAGAGTTATCACATCTCTTCTCTGAAATAATGGTCTTCTCGAAGTATCCTGAACATACAATTCTTTTTAAAAAATTTTTTAATTTTTCAATTACAATTGACATACAATATTAATTTCAGGTGTACAACATAGTGATTAGACATTTATGTAACTTACGAAGTGATCACCCCAATAAGTCTGGTACTCATCTGATACTATACATGGTTATTACAATATTATTGACTATATTCCCTATGCTGTACTTTACATGACTGTTTTTATAACTGGCAATTTGTAATTCTTAATCCCTTCACATTTTCACCCAGTCTCCCTAATCCCCATCCCATCTGGCAACCATCGATTTCTTCTCTGTATCTGAGTTTGTTCATTTATTTTGTTTTTTTAGATTCCACATATAAGTGAAATTATATGGTATTTGTCTTTCTCTGTCTTAGTTAGCATAATACCCTCTAGATCTATCCATATTGTCACAAATGAAAAGATTTCATCCTTTTTTGTAGGTGAGTACTATTCCATTGTATGTATGTACCACCCCTTCCTTATCCAGTCATCTGTCGATGGACCCGTAGGTTGCTTCTGTATCTTGGCTATTGTAAGTAATGCTGCAGTGAACATAGAGGTGCATATATCCTTTTGAATTAGTATTTTGGATTTCCTCGGATAAATTCCCAGCAGTGAAATTTCTGGGAGATATGGTAGTTCTATTTTAATTTTTTGAGGCATCTTCATACTGTTTTCCATAGTGGCTGAAACAATTTAAAACGCCACCAAGAATGCACAAGGGTTCCCTTTTCTCCGCATCCTTGTCAGCACTTTTTGTTGTTTGTTGATTTATTGAGGGTTGCCATTCTGACAGGTGTGAGGTGATATCTCGTGGTTTTGAGTTGAATTTCCCTGATGATTGGTGATGTTGAACATCTTTTCATATGTCTATTGGCCATCCACATGTCTTCTTTGGAGAAAAGTTTATTCGGGTCTTCTACCTATTTTTTAATCGGATTGTCTTGTTTTTTGGTGTTAAGTTTTATGAGTTCCTTATATATTTTGGATATTAACTCTTTATCAGATAGATGGTTTGCATATATTTTCTCCCATTCTGTAGGTTGCCTTTTCATTTTGCTGATTACTTCTTTTGCTGTGCAGAAGCTTTTAAGTTTGTTTTAGTCATACTTGTTGTTTTTGCTTTTGTTGTTTGTTTTTGGTGTCATATCCAAAAAATCACTGCCAAGACAAAATGTTGAGGAGTTTCTTCCCTACATTTTCTTCTAGAAGTTTTTTAGTAAGTCTTATGTTTAAGTCTTTGATCCATTTCGAGTTAATTTTTGTGTACAGTGTAAGATAGTCCAGTTTCATTTTCTGCATGTGTTTGTCCAGTTTACATAGCACTGTTTATGGAGAGACTATCCTTTTCCCATTGGGTGTTCTTGGCTCCCTTGTCAAATATTAGTTAACTGTATGTGCAGGGATTTAATTCTAAGCTGTCTGTTTTGTTCCATTGGTCTGTCTGGTTTTATGCCAGTACCATACTGTTTTATTTACCATAGCTTTGTAGTATAGTTTGAAATCAGTAATGTGATGCCTCTGGCTTTGTTCTTTTTCAGGATTGCTTTGGCTGTTTGAGATCTTTCATGGTTCCATACAAATTGTAGAATTGTTTTTTCTATTTCTGTGAAGAATGCCTTTGAAATTTTAATAGGGATTATGTTGAATCTATAGATGGCTTTAAGTAGTATGGACATTTTAACAATATTGATTCTTCTGACCCACGAACATAGGATGTCTTTCAATTTGTGTCGTCTTTGATTTCTTTCAACAAAGTCTTGTGGTTTATGTTATACATATATTTCACTTCCTTGGTTAAATTTATTCCTAGGTATTCTTTAACTCAGCATAATTGAGATTAATACATATCGCATGTAGCAATAGTTTATTCCTTTTTATTGCAGAGTAGTACTCCACTGTTCATACTAATATGTTTTCTCTGTGGATAGACATTTGAGTGTTCCCTCATTGTAGTTTTAATTTGCATTCCCTAATGGCTAATGATGTTAAACATTTTTTCATATGCTTATTTGCCATCTACATATCTTCTTTGGTGAATTGTCTGTTCAAATCTTTTGTCCATTTTTTATTGTTTTTATTTTCTTACTATTGAACTTTGAGAATTCTTTGTATTCTGGATATAAGTCCTTTATCAGATATGTGACTTACAAATATTTTTTCCCAGTTTATGAATTGTCTTTTCATTCTCTTAACACTGTCTTTCAAGAGCAGAAGTTAATTTCTATTAAGTCTAATTTATCAATTTCTTTTATGAAGCATGGTTTTGGCATTGTGCCTAAGAAACCTTCGCTTAACCCAAGATCACAAAGATTTTCTCCTTTGTTTTCTTCTAGAAAATTTATAATTTTCAGTTAGATTTGTTAGATTTGTGATCATTTTGAGTTAATTTTTGTATGTGGTGCAAGGTATGGATCGAGTCTTAATTTTTTGCATGTAGATATCCAGTTGTACCAGAAACTTGGTTCTTTTTTATGATTTCTTTTGTATATGTATATTGCTATTATCCTTACCTCTTTAAGCATTTTTACCAAGCATATTTTAAAATCTTGGTCTGTGTCAACAGATTCTGAGACTAAAATTTAGTTGCAAAAAGTGAGGAAAGCAGAGTTGATCAGAGAGAGAAGGTAAGCTGTGATACAGTCGCAGCAGAAGCCTTGGCCAGTCCTGTGCAGAGTTCTGAAGCTGTAATGGCCTTTCAGAGATGTCTTAAATTAAGGTTCAAGGGCTAGGCCATTGTACCTCTGCCTCTGTCAGAAATTGAATGGCCTGTCCTCAGGGAAAGAAACCACAGGTAAGGAAGCTCCCTTTAGCCAAGGGCGTTCCTGGAGGGCCAACAACAGGCAATATTTGACAACTGGGGTAATGAATACCTCAGTCTTAGAGGGGAGATCTGGGTGACACTTTGTATTATCCCTCAGTCTGTTCTAAAACTTCTGCTTCATATGGTGTGTGTTATCTAGTCTGTTGTATGTCTTTTACTCTTCACATGTCTAAGTTATTTTGACCTGTGTGCATATTTTCCCCAGGAGATGTCCCCTACTTTGTCTAGTAACATGGCCTGGAGAGGGGCCAAAGGCCAGTTCCTAATCTGTGTCAGTTCCAGTAAAAGAGGAAAGGTTAAGGGCCAGGGTGGAGATTCTAGGTACTTCAGTGTTGATCACTTCGCAGGACAAATCCTAGTTAGGATTTTACCATTGATGCTGGCTATGGTTACGCAGTAGATTTTAGTACATTAATCCTCAACCCTGCTGAATTCTTACTAGTTTTAATAATCTATATATATGTTCTCTTGGACTTCATATACAGATAAATGACATCATGTTAATAGTAACTTTTGTGTCTTCCTTTCCAATTATACTTTTTTTCTAATCTTACTGCATTGGCAAAGTCTTTAGTACAATGTTGAATGACTTTAAAGGAATTTCTTCTAATGTTTCACCATTAAATAGGTTGTTTGCTGTGGGTTTTGGTGTATACCCTTTATCAGAATAAGAAGTTTCCTTCTATTCCTTGTTTGCTTTCTTTCTAAAATCATGAATAGATGTTGACTTTTATTACATGCTTTTTCTGTGTCTATTGAAGTAATCATGTTTTTTCTTTTTTGATCTTTAGTAAATTACATTCATATTTACATTTTTTTATTGAGATACAATTCACATAACATTTGAGTCATTTAAAAATATACAATTTAGTGGTTTTTAGTATATTCACAATGCGTGTAACCATCACTACTAAATTTCAGAACATTTCCAGTATGTGTGTGTGTATGTGTGTGTATTTTTTTTTACTGTTAAACTGCCCTTTCATTCCTGGGATTAACTCAACTTGGTCATGATTTATATTCTTTTTTCAATACATCATTGGATTTGTGTAAAATCATTTTTTACAGAAGTTTTCATTGTAATGAAATTTTGTCCCTGTTTTGATGGTTCTTTTCACAGCATCTCTGGAAGCTGATGGTGGAAGAGTCAGATTTACTGGGTCAGCTGAAGGTAATAGCTTAGCTGTTCTGTTCACTCTCAGAATGATGCTGGTGGGCAATGACGTAATTCTCTAGCCTCTTCTAAGAGCACTGATAGCCCGTACCCAGAGTTCTAGAGTGGCCTTCTATGTCCTTGGCCTAATGGGCCAATTACATCTAATACTGTAAATTTACTACAATACAAAGCTTTGGGTGTTTACTTTCTTCTGGCTTAATATAATTGTATTTTCACTGAATAAATGATACCAAAGACACACCGGTCATCTTGCCACAAGATTGCTAAGTATGCCCCTTTGAAATGTCAAAAGCCTATATCCTTTTATAGATTGACTTAAACTGATGAGATTTGGAAATTAAATGTGTAATTCCAGTAGGATAATAAGAAGCTCATGGCCCTGCTGGATTACCAAATTGTAAGTTGAAATTCTTTCTGCAGATCATTAAAGACTTTTACCTTCTGGGACGTGGAGAACTGTTTCAGGCTTTCATTGACACAGCTCAACACATGTTGAAAACACCCCCCACTGCAGTCACTGAACATGGTAAGTGCCCTGTGGACCAGAGAATTACCAGCTTACTAAAGTTGTCGGGTGTTTCTTGGCTGCTACTGAACCATTTAGGCCTATTCCACATAAGAGCAGACTGTTGAGTTTCCAAAGATGGAAGGCCTTTCAGATAGGCTTCACACCGAGGTCATTGGGAGCAGCCTCTTGACTTGTGTCCCTTCCTGGAAGAATTGACACAGGCCTTCAAACCAGGTATTTTATCTTATCAGATTCTACACATATATTCCTTATGGAACATATTGGGACTTATTGCCACCATGTACTGTATTAAAACTCTTAAGGTTGTGATCATGGAAACGTAACATGAACTAACCTAGGTAGAAAGGAGAATGTATTTGCTATTATACCTATAACTCCAAAGGGATAGGGTATAACTAGGCCTCAGAATGACTGAAACCAGGAACTTAAATACTGCTAGGATTCCATTTTATCATATCTTGTCTGTGCCTTCTGTACACTCTTTGATGGCCTTATAGTCCCATCTGGAAGCATGGCCACCAACAGCTCCCAGGAACATCCCTCACAGTGTCTACTGGCGGAGCCAACCCAGACTCTCTGATAGCGAGTGAAAGGATTCCAGAGAAAGGGTTTTGATTAGTCCAGCTCAGACCGATACCTATCCCTGTGTCAGAGAGGTCAGACATTAAGATATGCCAAAGTGTTCACCCTTGACCAATAGGAATGATCACCATTCCCATTCAGACTACATAAGGAAAGTTGGGTTAAGGATCAGAGTCTGGGGAAAAAAAGAAAATTAAAGAGCTGTACTCTTTCAGTCTGAATAAAGCCTCTGGGTTGGCCTGGCTCGGTCACGTTTATATCCCTAAATAAAATAGTGTAACAAGGTAGAGTATGACCTTCCATTTGATCATGCCTGGGTCACCTGCCTACCCCTAGGATCAGGTATTGTCAACCCCACTGGAACTACACGGATTATACTGGGCAGGGCTGATTCTCTAGGGAAAATCAGGGTGCTGTTATCAACAAGGGAAGGAACACATGCCAGTCAGGCAGAAGCAACCAACATTACTGCATCCTACTCGTAGCGTGAGGCAGGCTGGGGAGAAGTGGAGAGCTAGAGGAGTCTGGCTTTGTTATGTAGCCCATATGTCCTTTTTTACAGATGTGAACGTGGCCTTCCAACAGTCAGCACACAAGGTGTTGTTGGACGATGACAACCTTCTCCCTCTGTTGCATTTGACAATTGAGTACCATGGAAAGGAGCAGAAAGGTTTGCCATTCATTCTGCATCTGTCTGCTCCTACTAGTCATCATCTGTTCTCCTTTCTCTGCTTCCACCTCCACAGAAACCATATCATTCTGGACCTTAGAAATCACCAAGTCTAGTGCCTTAATTTTATGTGGGAGGAAAGGGAAGTCCAGAGAGGCTGAGAGACCCAGGCCATGCTTTTTGTTTGTCGTGCACTGGAAAGGTCTCTGTTTTTCAAGCCACTAGACTTTAAGGCTGAAAAAAGAATCTCTAAAAGAAGATTCTTTTAGAACCTCACATAGACGTTTTCTTGCCTCTGCAAGTCCCCTTTGTGCCGTTTATGCTTCTGATACTGCAGGCTCGAGTGAGTGCTCATTTCACGAATGCTCTTCACCTGCTGAAGCTCTGGTTCTAGGTTGGCAATGTCTAAGCTAGACTTCCTTCCCTCTCTTCTTAACAGATGCTACTCAGGCCAGAGAAGGCCCTTCTCGAGAAACTTCTCCACGGGAGGCCCCTGCATCCGGCTGGGCAGCTCTAGGTCTTTCCTACAAAGTGCAGTGGCCACTGCACATTCTTTTCACCCCCGCTGTCCTAGAAAAGTGAGTATTTGATTTTCTCACAGGGAAATATGACCCACCTTATTTCCAAGGGAAGAAATTATCAGGAATAGAATTGGAGGGAGCTTGATAGCCACCAACTAGTTAGCAGTCTGTAAATGAGGTTTCAAACTCAACGCCTTCAGGTGCTGGCCAAAACCTAACTAAGTGAAGCCACAGATGTGAGATAGTAGGAAGTGGTGGATACTGGAATGAATGGTAAGGTCAAACCCTTCAAACCATCAGTTTTCTTTTTCAGTGCTAGTTTGTGACCTCTGGGACGTACAGTCTCAGGTACCACATTGACTCTGACTCTTGATAATCCCATCAGACTGACGAGGTTCCTACCTAACTTTTTTAATTTTCTTATTTACTTGGAAACACTCCAAGCCCAAGTGTTTGCTGTGGACTTTAGTCACTGGGGAGAAGATCACCTCCTTACCCCTAGGAGAGCCAGTGGGAGCAGCCAAGCGTACCAAGGTGGTGAGAGACAGGGCTTGGATCAACCCTGGTCTTTATCCTGAGAGCCTGCCAAGTGCTCTTGCTCATTTCCGTCAGGAAATAATGTCCCCCAGAGGAGAATTAGTGCTCCAGGGAAAGGAGGCAAGAGAAGCATACTTGGCTGGTCGTTGCCTCTGAAATCCATCCCCACGCCATTTCAGGAATTTCCCAAATGCTCTTATGGGTTCAGGCAGTGGCCCCTGGCCTGGCTGCAGGATGGAAGCTGTCATGCTCAGGCTAGAGGAATGGAGAAAAGGGAAACAAAGGAACAAAATGTCTTCTCTTCATCTTTCTTCTTTCTGTTCACAATCCTCTCTACTGTTTTGGAGTAGAAAAGCTTAGGGTATGAGAGATTGGGCATAAACTGGAAACGGCAAGGCCACTTCAGGGAGAAGATCCTGTGGCAGTTTCAGGTCCCCCAGACCACCTAAATAAGCTGCCTGGACCTTGTCCAGAGTCTCCACAGCTCCCAGCACCCCACAGTCCAACAGTCCTCTCACTTCCTCACTTGATATGCTCATAACACCCTTAAAGAAATCAAACTCCGAAGTATTTTTCAAACTTTTTATTATGAAAATTTCCAAATATAAACAAAAATATGGACTATAATGAACTCCCATGTACACACTGTCCAGCTTCAGTAACCAATGTACTTGTTAATTTTTTTTTTTGCTAGAGCCTTATGAAGCAATCCTACACAAGTCATTTCACTCTATCATTATGCAATTCAAAAAAGACATGTTTTTAACATAACTAAAATGCCAATATTACACCCAATAAAATTAATAATGCCTTAGTATCTGATATCTAGTCTACATTGAAATTTCTCTAGTTACCTAAAAAATGTTTTTTATAGTTAGGTTGGTTCAAATCAGATTCCAAATGGAGTATACTATTTTCAGTATATCGTTCTATTAGAAAAAATAATTCTTAAAACCAAGTGGAATTGGGTTGTCTTCTGCATGTCTTCCTAAGAAAAAGTAAATACACCCAGTTCTACCAGGAATCGCCTGCTCTTCCCATGTGTCTTCTTAGTACAGGGCTCAGCATTCAGCACCTGGCCCCTGTGCTTGCCATGAGGGAGTCTCAGTGAGAGACCTCCATTTTCTTTGGGTTTCCAGGACAGAGAATCATATTAACAAAAATTCTTGGTTCCTAATATATTCTTATTATTGGTCCTTGCAAGACCTTCCTTCTTCTTACACATACACACACACACACACACACACACACACACACACACACACACGCGCGCGCACACGCACACGCACACGCATGCACGAACAAACCATAAAACCATTTCCCAGCACAAAAACTAGAACACTAACAATAATGTCCGTCTACCTATGTGGTCCTTCCCAGTCCTGCCCCCTTGCCTCCAACATCCCAAAATGACCACTATCCTAAATTCTATATTTTCTATACTATATATTTGTCCAAAGTATACTTTTTCCTATTTAGTTGTTGTAAGCACTATAAAAAAGGGCATTGGGCTATATGTAACCTTTTGAGATTTACTTTATTCAGAATACTATTACTAGGAGTCATTTTGTTGTGTTGTACAGCTGAAGTTCATTGATTTTAATGGCTATATAATAGTCCATCATATAGATCAGTTTATTTGTCCATTCCCATTTCCTTCCTTTTTTTTTTTTAGGTGAGGCAACCCTTGGTTGACCTCACAGATTGCAAGGACGTTGTCAGTTTACAATCTCTTATTTTTCATGCCTACAGCACCTGGTCTTCCTAGGTGGTCTCCCATCCAAGTATTAACCAGGCCCAACCCTGCTTAGCTTCCGAGATCAGACAGGATCGGGGTTGTGCAGGTTGTGCCATAGTCCTTCCTGCCTTTTTGAGGAGGGGTCAGTGACACAAAGTCCTACTGTCTATTATACAGGTGGAGGTATGAAGTTTTTATCTTACATAGCCTGATGTTTCTGTCCCAGGTACAATGTTGTTTTCAAGTACTTACTGAGTGTGCGCCGGGTACAAGCTGAACTGCAGCACTGCTGGGCCCTACAAATGCAGCGCAAACACCTCAAGTCCAACCAGACCGATGCAGTCAAGTGGCGCCTAAGAAACCACATGGCATTCTTGGTGGATAATCTGCAGTACTACCTCCAGGTCTGTGCCGAGGGATGAGTAAAAGGGTATGAAGAGAAGTCCAGGAGGTTGGCAGGAGTTATTGAAGAGGAGCTGCAATCCTGCATTTGGTGAAATGCTTGGGTTTGAGAAAATTCATAGATTATCTCACTGGGCATGTGTCCTGGGGGCATTTTAGAGGAAAGTGAAAATAAATGGCTGAATGAGAATGAGGAGTTGGGGTCCTTATCAGCAATGTAGTATTTAATTATTGTTGACCTTATTTTTATAGTTTGCTGTAACTTCTGGAATCCTATAGAACTTAACCAAGTCAGTCAGTGGAGGGGAGAAGGCATGAGGGGATTGGGTTGGGGAAGGTGGTGGGGTAGGGGGAATCTGCCCAGACATTGGAGTTTGTTAGGAATTAGGCAAATAACTATCTACAAGGCTAGGCAACATAAGGGTGTCTTTAGTCAATCTTAAAGTGGCTTAGATAGGAGGAAGATGGGTGGGGCAAAGAATTTCTATGTCATCCTATCAGGCATCTTAGTGTCTTTGAGTACTTAGAATAGGCAGAGTGCTAAAATTATTTGTGTAACTGTCTGTCAGGTAGATGTGCTGGAGTCTCAGTTTTCACAGCTGCTTCATCAAATCAATTCTACCCGAGACTTTGAAAGCATCCGATTGGCTCACGACCACTTCCTGAGCAATTTGCTGGCCCAGTCCTTTATCTTGTTGAAACCTGTAAGTAAGTAGGACTGATTGGTTTCCCCACACTGCTTCTAGCCTGATTGTTCCCTTAGGCACTTTGAGGTGCCAAGATATGGAACTATCATTAAGCAATTGTTCAATCTCCATATTTAAACATTTTTAACAACTTATAAAGCAAAACTAAAAGGGACATTAAAAGGGAACTTAAATGTCTTTGAATTTCTGAAATATAGGATGTGGACAGCTATACATGAAAGAATACATGCTTAACCCTCAGAAGGATTTCAAGACATTTTTAAAACTTTCTGACACCATAGAAAGACCAACGAAAAGCATATAGTGTATACTTTCCTAGAAATCTTCTGAATCAGGATCAGCCAGTTGCTGGAAAGTTGTTTTCAGAGACTACTGGAGTAGCGTCCTCCTCTATGTGTATACACACATATGTACATATGTATATCTCCTTCAGGGGAGTTATTCTCAACCTTAGATCCACATGGGAATCAAATGGAACCCAGAGCACTTAAATTAAGAGTTCCTGGAGTGGGATCAGGCACCAGTATTTTTTAAAGCTCACAAGCTGATTCCAATTCCAGGATAAAAAGCAAGAAGGTTGAAATGATCCCTTCTAGTTTCTACTGTAACAGTTACACTTTATATTTGATGTGAGCTAATTGTCATTCTTTAGTTGTGCCACATCACAAGCACTACAGACTTCTCTTTTGTTCTGGTATTTGGGGCTGTTATTTTTGCTTCACTAAGGGAGAATGAGTTATATAAATGCCACTCCAAAGCGTTCTGTGAATTGAAAACAACCATGAACCACTGTGACAGGTAGACTGTCTTTGCATGGTATGAGTATATCTTTGGGGAAAAGTAGAATCTCAGAGCAGGTGGTCATCACTAAATATTTATTGAGTGCTCACTGTATGCAAGGCACTGGGGATACAAAGAGGTATAAGTCATGGCTCTGCCCTTAAGGAGCTCACAATCTAGTTGGAGAAACAGGACATACATACATACACAGGTCAATAACAATACAGGTGGCCTGAACAAACGCCAGGTGAATACTACAGATAATATAGAGAGCGATTCAGGGGTCACTAAAGTTTATGGGGGTTGGGGGTAGGGAGTTGGACCTGGTATTAAGGAGGTGAGTATCCCAGGCACAGGAAACAACAATGAAAGCAAAGCTCAAGGCAGGAGTACATTCTTGGTGGGTCCAAGAAATGATGACTAGTTTAATGTGGCTACAGTGGAGGTTTTGTGCAGGGGTGATTAAGAGAATGTTAGCATCTTTGCCAGGAAGGGAAGGGTTTGTTTTATACATGTTGCATTTTGAGGAGTTGGTAGGACTTGCACGTGGCATTCTCTCTCCTTGTCAGAAGTGGGAACATGAGAATAAATTACCTCTTAAGATTATTTTCCCAAATCTTTAATTTCACAGATCTTCCTTCTTTTTGCTAATACCAACTGTTTCCTGGGTAGGTGTTTCACTGCCTGAATGAAATCCTAGACCTCTGTCATAGCTTTTGCTCGCTCGTCAGTCAGAACTTAGGGCCACTGGATGAACGTGGGGCTGCCCAACTGAGCATCCTGGTGAAGGTGAGTCTGCCTGGCTGCTGGAAATACGCAGCCCTGTCCAAAGGATAGAGGTGGTTTTGCAAATGGAGAAACATGATCTTTCCCTCTGAGACAATAAAGCATTTCCCCCAGTACATACACACAGAAATAACAAGAAACAAATCTAAAATGTTGGTATCGGTTGATTTTAAAGCAGATAATTATGTGCTTCCTCAGCATTCAAAAATAGTTCGGCCCTGAATAGTTTATTGGGCCCACCAAATATGCATTGGCTTTGCTCTCACTTTCTCATATCCAACCTCCTTACTTCCTTGAACTAACCCTCTATCTTTCACTGAGATTATAATTATCTGCCTGTAACAAAAACACACAGGTTCTCCCCAACCCCAGTACACGACAGACTATATTCATTTGAAACTGGCTGCTAAATTCCTACTGAGAATGAGAGTACTTTATTAGAATTCTGTGTTCTGTGGACTTGGCACTAAGAAGTTATTTTAGGAGTTAATAGAAATGAAATGTGGGAAGGCCAGGTGGTGCTGAAGAATTTTGAGCAAGGCTTTTCCAAAGAACATCTGTCACCACCCCTCCCTTTCCCACATGGGTAGTTGGTGAGTCTCAGGAATGACGGCTTGAGTCTTTCTCTCTGCAGGGCTTTAGCCGCCAGTCTTCACTCCTATTCAAGATTCTCTCCAGTGTTCGGAATCATCAGATCAACTCGGATTTGGCTCAATTACTGTTACGACTAGATTATAACAAATATTACACCCAGGCTGGTGGGACTCTGGGCAGGTAGGAACAACCCTTGGGGAACTCAGTGGACTAAATGTGTGTGGCTTTTTAAAACAAGTCGTAGAATTCCAGTGCTGGACATACAGACTTTAGCCATCATCTGGTCCAAATACCCTCACTTTATAAACAAGAAAACTTGAGGCCCAAAGAGATAAAGCACTGTGTCTGATCATCTTTAATCATTTTAATGATTATTTTCTAGTAAAAGTCATCATAGTAAAATACTAACCTCCTGAGGCTGAGATGGGTTTTAAGTTCTTGGCTAGGTTGTGTATTGCTGTGCTGGGAAGCAGCATGGCCTCAGTTCCCAGTTCTGACATTAACTAGCTGTGCTGCTGTAGGCCTGCCTCGCTGGCCCACAGCTTCCAGTTTGTGAGAGGGGACTGCCCCTTCTAACTCTACTTTTTTTTAATCTATAGTGAGATAAAGTAGTTGTTGGCCTCTCTCAGAGGTCTGTCCCAAATGCTTTATTGTTTGCTCTTTCTGAAATGTCCTCAACCAGATTTTTCCTAAGTGATTTTAGCAGTAGTCAGACTTTGAGTTTTAAGATGACATTATCTAGATCACAGGTTGCCCTGATTCATATAGATATAAATTTTTTTTTTTTTTTTTAAAGAAAATCTTAGGAAAGCATATTTGATGAGGCTCTTTTTTTCTTTTGTAGTTTCGGGATGTGAAAATTTCGGGTTCACGAACTGGAATAAGTCTTTCCCACCACGTTCTCATCTTTAACAGAAGAAGGCTCAAAACATCTCATTCTCTAGCTGCAAGCTATTGAGAGGGCTGTCCTTTTCTCCTAGAAGTGATTACTGAACATCCACGAGTACAAATCCTTCCTCTCTTTCTCAAGTGGAAGGGTCTGCCCCCGCTTAGGGGAGTTAACTCTCCTAAGGAGCACAAGTGACATCAGCTCTCCCTCTGTGGACCCTGCAAGATCTGTTACATCGAGACCATTTCTCTGATAAGTTCATTTACTGAGCTCCTACTATGTGCCTAGGTGCTGTTCAAGCTGCAAGAGATAGCAGTAATACAGATCAGAAAGTTAAATATTTTGTGGCTCATGTGAGAAAGTCAACTGTTGTATGTTGCCACTGAGCAAGAAAGGCACCACATAAGGTAGGCTTCCCCTCACCCCACAAACCCGCTTTCCTCCAGAAAATTAAAACTGAGTGTCTCATCCTTAAGGATCTTTAAAACTATGAATCTGAAGAATTTTACCAATAACTTCCAATTATTTCAAATTGTAAAAGGGCAGTTTTAGTTACAATGTATTTAGTTGTTGTTTTAAACAAATAAGGTCCTTAAAAAAATCGAGGTCAGATTGTTAGCTGTCAAATACTGAAAACTGCAGGTCTGATTATCCCATCTTAGAAGAACCACAGGAGCTGAGGTTCTCCTAATCTGGCCCAATCATCACTGGTAATCGCTAATATTCACATCAGTATGAATCAAAACATTCAATGAACTCCCTTCAAACCAAAAAGAATGCAGCATTCTGGCCTCAGTTTTTAGCTATGTGACCTGGTCCTACACCCTGGTCTCTACATCTCTTCTACCACATATTACTCCCTTATTCTCTGCAACTGTCAGCTAAAGACAACCCCTTCCACTGCTGCTCCTGGAGCAGAGGTTAGCAAACCATCACCTGTTTTTGTAAATAAAGCTTTACCGGAACACAGCCACTCTTGTTCATTTACCTATTGTCTGTGGTTGCTTTCCTGCCATCATGGCAAAGGTGAGTAGTTGTGACACTTAAAACATTTACTATTTGGAAGAAAAAAAATTGACCGCTGCTTTAGAGAATGAGAGAACATCAACAGGGACAATGCTGGGGTAGAGAAGGGACAGCTTCCAACATGTGACAATAGTAATAAAGTTTTATACCTGTGACTAAAGCTTCTAACATTTCTGAGTGTTACCACTATATTTCTCATGTCATCCCATCAAGCTTACAGTCACTGCCCAGTCACAGCAATTGGTCCTCTTGCCTTTTAGCTGAGAGTACAGTATACAGTTTAGTGAGCTCAACTCTATAAAGAGATTTTTTTTTAATTGCCAAGAAACTTAACTGTGAATTTCACTCAACTTTTGGCACAACTATTTATCTGGGCCTACTGTAAAATCAGGTATTTAGTAGTACTGAATTTTAGATAGCCCAGGATAACCTTTTGACAGCTATGCCAAAGAAAACTTTAAAATTCACTCCTCATTATTTCCCTTGGCTAGATGTCCTCCAATGAACAAGCCAACTGAAAAACCACACAGAAGGTACTAAGTTTATCTTGCTAATTGTTCTGAAAGTAAGCTCAAAGAAGTAGATGAAGAAATCCCAGTTACTACAACCAAAGAGATTCAACATTTATTTTATCATAAAAGTCCAGCAAATAAAACTATATACAAGATCCATGCAAGGAATCCAGTTACACACAAGACACATTTAAAACCTGGTTAAAACACAATCTCCACAACAGCAAGGAATAAAACTGGTAAGACCAAGTAGCCTTAGTGAGAAATATAATCGTGTTTGTATTTTGGATGCTGCTTGAATCCAATTCTCTCCCCAACAATGAGGCACTGGATCACCCACTCTTGTGACACCACAGGCAGCTGCAATGCTTCAGCACACTTCAGCACCGAGGCTGGGCATGAGGGGTCTGTCACCACCACGTCAAATACCCCTAAAGCAATATCTGCAGGAAGCAGGGGAAGGTAAGTAAGGAAAGGAGACTCAATTTAGCCCCTCTATTAAAAAGCCTGATGTGCCTTGTAGCCAGTACATCCCACTCTGCCCAAACTAAGCCCTTTAAGTCAAACACAACATGTTACTGATCACAACCAAATGGGAAGTTATCAATAAATGCTGACCTTGTAAAAATGTTTAGCAAATACACCACTGGACACCAGTAGAAGCATAGACAGCCCAGTGCTTCACTCATGTCAGCGCACCTCTTAAAGGTGGTACTTCTCTTAGGAACACGGATATGGTTAACCAATAATCAGGACTGAGACTTAGACCACAAGGCCTAACAGCTATGGGTTCAATGACATTCTTGGAGCAGTAACAATGCACACACTTTCCAGGTACCTTTGTTATGGGCACTTGAATGGTGCTGCTTCACAGAGGCTGCCCCCCCAGTCATGAGGATCTCAGACCAGAGCTCCAGGAAGTTCTGCTGTTGATCTGACACCAAGAGTACCTTCAGATTCTGGAAAGGGTTTTCACGGGGTTGCCTATGAAGGAGTCAGACACAGCACCTTGGAATTGGGAGGGATCTTAACTTGACAGATAATATCTAATAACAGCCCTTCTATAAAAGGACTGAGGATAATCTGAATGCTTTCAAAATCCTTGCATTCAGGCACCACCCTCCTCCCCGCTTTCTGTGAATGATCTCTATTCTCTGGGATTGTGACCTCCTAATCCACCCCCTTTCTGATTTCCATGTTTGTTCTGGAACCGAAGCTGTACCCTGCTCCCTCCTGAGCCTGTATTTTTAAAGTGCTTAAAACTTAGTCCCCTCCCAATCATACAGCTTGAGTTCATTCCTTTTCAAAAGGTCACTAACCAGTGTACCCTAGGGAAATACACCAGGTGAACTGCTAAAATAAACTCAAACCCATTCAAATTCAATCATTTACAGTACGATCATTGCAGTTTCTAGAAATATTTACTCACCTAGACTCTCCCCTCGAAAAGCTTGCTTTTCTACTTTCTACTGTTCTAGGTAGGCTCTTAAAAACTTACCAATCCAGAATTCTTTGCTCCTCAAGGCTATACCCAGCTGGCAGCAGATAATTACGGTAATTCTGGAGTTGGTTGGCATGGCAACTGTCATGGACCCAGACATGAGACACACAAGGAATCCCACTGGCAAGGCACAGGAAGTACTTCCGGGTTCGACAATGTTGATCCGCGATTAGGAGACACTGGTAGGCTGTGTTACACTGGAAGAAAAGGAATAACTACCAATGGGTTTGGTGATATCTCTGGAAAGCACCTGAATAGCAGCCCTAATGAGTCATAGAGATTGGATCTGAACACTTTCAAATACAGTGATCCTTGAACAACATGGGTTGGAACTGTACAGGTCCACTTACACACAGATTCTCAATTGACCCGTGCAGTTCAAACATGTGTTGTTCAAGGGTCAACTCTGTGGCTGAGAATCCAGCAGGGGGCGGGCTGACTGGTTATATGCAGATTTTTTACTGCATGAGAGGTTAGCACCCCGAATGCCCATGTCGAATGCCCATGTCGTTCAAGGGTCAACTGTACTATCCAAAATGTGACTGATCCTGTCCTGCCCAAGACCTCTTTTCTCAATGAAAGGCCCAAGTGGCTTCCCTAGACACTCTCCCTGCCTCACCTGCAGCTTCTGGGGACCTAAATCCTCAAGGGACAACTAAACTCCCATGTATTCAGCATTTCGGGCAAAGAATCAGCAACACTGTGATAGGGATTTCTATTAAACACAAATTTTAATCTGCGTTTGTCCCAGCAACAGAACCATAGCCATTAACTCATGGTTTTAACTTCTCTCCCTGTATACAGTAAAAATTCCACTTCATGTGAACAACCGTTGGCAGTTTCCTAGTTCCTGAAATCTCTAGCTACTGTCCCTCTCAGGCCTATTCTCGGTACAGGTAGTGGACTCTTCGTCACGGCCCCTCTGGGAAGCTACACAAAGAAACTCCTCACCTGGGCTTCATTGAAGTCTTCGAGAATATAGCCAGCTCCTGCTCGAAGCTGGGATTCTGTATACTGCTTGTTGAAAGGAGGAATTTCTAAAAATTCTATATAAAAAACATAACCAAGATAATTATTACTACTGGTTGGTTTATTTGCTACTTTATGCCTGCTTCTTACTGCCCCCTTTCCACTCCCCAACTATCTCCAGAGTACTGTATCTCAAGGACAGGTCAAGGGCTTCCCCATGGTTCAGAAAGAGATCTGTCTTGAGGCCTATAAAGTGCTGCCAAAAGAAGGGACAACAGCAGGAGGGGTAGGGAAGATGAGAAATGGACGCAGGTCTTAGACCTAAAAACAGCAAACATTTCTGCACCAAGACCGAGTCATCGGACTGTTCACAGGGGTAGATACACCACCAATTCCCATAGTGATGTATTCCCATCGGAGTTCTTCCTTATGTCTACCCTAAATCTCTTCTACAAAACTATGCCCATTTCCTCTTTCTTCTGTGGAGGTGAATAGCTCTTTAGCACTTTTTATAATAGAGCCTTCAAATTCTCCCTTCATTAGCATTTTTACCCCCTGTACACTAAAACTGATAAACGAGAATGCTCAAAGAAAGTAAGGTTTTAAAATTTTAACTGATTAAGTGAAGATTAGCCAGAAAATCCTCTTTCAACCTTTTTATTGAAAACTATCTACCTTTGATGATCTTGAAGTACCTCAGGACACTGAACATCAATGACTGCTCTATAGTCTTGAGGGTGAAGTAGAAGTTATGAGAGATGAGGCTGAAGCTGTAATGACCCTAGGCAATTAGAAATTGCTTCTTTTGACCAAATATCTAATTTGAGCTTGTTTTCTTGTCATCTGCTCCTCTCATATATAAATAACACATTAAAAAAAAAGAAAGAAAAAAAGCAAGACATTAGAGGTTTTAGTTAATTAGGAGTTCTGAGAAATTAAGTGCTAATTAACTTATCACAAGTAAAAACACAAACCAAGTATATAAAAGTGCAACGCCAGGACCAATCCCTTTCCCCCTCATACCCAAAGGTAAAATTTGGCAGAGAAGACCCCTCGTAGAGATGGCTCCCCAACCCACCCTTGGTACCCTCTCTGCCTGCTGGAGCTGCTCAGGCAGTGTCGATGCCCCAAATTCAGGCCTGTGCAACTTTAGGTAGGTCTGACTGGCCAGCCTATTCATTTTTTATTGCTCTTGATTCAGCATTCTCCATATTCTTTTTAAAATGAAAACAAACTGGAAACTCTAACTGGTTATAAGAAACTCAGAATACAGCAGGACTATTTCTCAGTTTTATGACTATCCTTCTGACCTGTCTAAATGACACACATGTCACAATTTTCAATGCCAGCACTCTACTGCTAGGTCACTGCTAAGGCCCCTTATGGTCCTTTATTTTCAAGACTTCTATTTTATGTCTGCATAATCCATGCTGTTTCTAGTCCTGACCAATTTAGATTTTAATCCCTGCTTATATTTCCTTGTGTTTGTGTAATCAAATATTACGTAGGTCTAGACAGTCCACTTCTCACTAAATAAACCCAACTCCAGTCAATCCCTGTGGCTTGTGTTGTGCCACCTAACAAGACTGAAAGCAATATTCTTAACTCATTAACAAATATGTCTCATAAGCTGAATTCAAATATTTTGCTGAACTCCTGGCATCTCAGAGATTCCCATTTATCCTTAAGACATGTCACAGTTTCTTGAAAACTAAGTCTGTAGAGAATCGTTTTAGTACAAATATCTTCAGGCTTGAGACTAAGGAACCTCTAAAACATTCTCATATTCTAAAACTATCAAGGATTCTGGTACAACGTCCATGGATGAAGGAGCGACATAAAGCAGACACATTCTCCTTATATAACCATACTTTACGTGAGAAATCTGGAGGTCCCTCTAAAAAACTGTCCAAGTTCCCCCTCAATTAGATAAGGCCTACCTCCCTTTACTCATGTTATAGAATGAGATTAAAAACATTTGCCATATCAATCAGCAAGTGGGAATAGAGGGAATTTTTATGAGTTGAGTTTATAATATCTCACAGAGGCTCACAGATTTTAAGTCGGCTTTCTTACCCATGCTATACCAACAAATAAAACATATACAAACTGCCTTGTGAAGTGCTGGTTGAGGGAAGGGTTAGGAATGCTTTGGAGAATAAAGACTAGAGTC